ACCCATGCAAAAAACTCTAATTTAATCATACTGAATAGCATTTTATTTTCCTATGATATTTTTGCTTATTCCTGTGGCGTATAAGTTATATACTCTATATTCAGATCACGTAATTTTAATCTGTGTACATCTGCTATCCTCATTTTCAGTAAATATTGCAAGATCCTAGTGCTGCCAATGTGTTAGCTAAAGTTTCCTGAGCCAAATTGGATTTTTTTTTTGTTTTGTTGCATAGATTAAATTGGATAATTCAGATATCAAAACCCAAACCATTTACCCCTGAATAACCTCACACACCACTTATCCTCTTACCCTACAATGTGTGACCTTGACCTCACACACCACTTATCCTCTTACTCTACCATGTGTGACCTTGACCTCACACACCACTTATCCTCTTACCCTACCATGTGTGACCTTGACCTCACACACCACTTATCATCTTACCCTACCATGTGTGACCTCGACCTCACACACCACTTATCCTCTTACCCTACCATGTGTGACCTTGACCTCACACACCACTTATCCTCTTACCCCTACAATGGGTGACCTTGACCTCAAACAACACTTGTCCTTTTATTCCTTATTATTTGTTGATCTGGCCTCACTACTTAAATTCTAATATGTGAGACATGTGATATGAACCTCACACATTACTTACCCTCTGATCCCGATTGTGTGTGACCCTGACCTCTTGAACATGGATGGCTGGATTGCGTAGCTGGCTGGCCTGAACTAGCGACATAGACTGGAACACAAACATTCCTGACTGTTGACAATAATGTCTACATGGAAACCTCGATATCACAGCTGTAGTAGGTCTGATCACTGCTATGTGAATAGTCAGGTTTTTGGTCATTTGTATGAGAGAACTGCTACTTCATGAACAAAGGGGAACTTCTGAGATATTAATATATGTATGTCTAAACCAGTGGTCCTGCTATATGAACATAAAATATCAATAATTCATCAATTTGAAAAAGAAAAAAAAAATGAAAGAGGTATAAACTTAAGGTATGCCTACATAAACACAACATATAAGCAAGGAAATGTATACTAACTTCAATAAGATAATGTATTAACTTATTTAGTTAAATTCAAACCACTACATGTTGATAAAAAATGCAGGAAAGCCGTGAGTACTGACCTTGTCTACTTGAGAGACATATATAACCTTACAGCCCTCCAGAGTTACACAGTTAGTTTGGTTGTTGAGATCAATGTCAATTGCATCTATCCTTGACATCAGACACACTGTAATAACAGCACCGTCAAACATCCAATCACAAACGCTGTACTATACGCTGTACTATTAAGTTGTACAGTGAGTATCATCAAACATCCAATCACAAACGCTGAACTAGTAAATTCTACAATGAGTATCATCAAACATCCTATCACAAACACTGTATTATTGAGTTCTGAATATCATTAAACATGCAATCACACACATGAACTAAAATATTATAAATCATCCAATCATATTTACTGTACTGATTCTATATTCATAGCTCTGACCTTGACCTTTACACATGTATCCTCCTTTGATAACAAAGTTTAAGTATGTCCTCAGGATAACATTGTCACTGAATTCAACAAGAACTAGCATTTGAGCACAGAAAACAAAATAATATTACCAATTTCAACATTTTTGATAAATTTTTGATCAGTATTGACAACATTCATACATCAATAAATCATGTTGCAATATAGATATGTAAACATGATGTTACTTACCTTTGTGGTTATTACATAAAAACACATTCACATTAGACACACACATCTTCACAGATATTTGGTTCTCAGGTGGCTGTAGATTGGACGGTGGTATATTTAAAGTTCTCTCCCTTTGATCAGCTGGCATGGTAACAGGACTAGCACGGGATTGCTGTTTCCATAACAGTGATCCCAGGAAGTGTAAGACAGTGTTCACAGTCAGGGTAGACCACTCTATATGAGTATTGCACAAATCAGCATCCAATGTCAGATCTCCACACCTTTTGTTACCCTGTATAATTGGACATTAAAAAACTGAAATTTTGAAAGTTGTACTTTTCCAAATAAAGCTAAAAAAAGTGCTTGTAAGACATGAATGCCCCAGCTCCAATGCAAATCATTTTTAGAAAAAAATCTATAAATAGAAATGGTGACCTTGACCTTTGGTTCCTGAAATACAAACCCATTCGAACTATTCCTGTACTTGACTTTTGTATAAAGTCTAAACAAAGTCTGATGACAAATGAGCTGCTGGAAGTGATGGTATAATAACAGTGACTTTGGCCTGACCTTAGAATGCTGAAACACAATCTCATTTGCAGAATTCTCGTTCTTGACCTAAAAACGGCATGGACATAGATATCTTAATTAAGTTGTACATCTTTGACAGTTTGAGATGGCATTTTGAAACGGAGCCAATATACACAAAACAGCATAAAAAGGGCATCAAATTTTGAAATTATTCAAAACAAATTAGTTGACATATTTACTCTCCCAATGCCCGTTATGAAATAGTGGATGACTTTGAAATCAAAACACTGACCTTGAGATAGAAAGTCCCAATATATAAAGGATGGTCCCAGAAGTGAATTTTGTTATGGAGACGGTCCATGGTTACTCGAGCGTCCATGTGTTGACAACTGACCGTCTGGACCTCAACCTTACAGGATACATTGTCCAGCCAATGCAGGTCAGGGGACTCCGCTGTAACAAATAATCTCCATATTTTAACCCTTATTGGTGATCTAATTTTATCATGATTCAAAGTAACAGCATTGTTCTATACCCTTAAGTGACATTTACCTCAATATACCACACCGCTTTGTCACCAGGACCTACCGTTGTCATGTGGATCAATTTCCATATTTTTTATTATAAAAAATCTAACTGACGTTGATCCCAGTGTTGTGGCAACTAGCTCTTTACCTGCTGGACATCCAGTTTTCTCCCGTTAGACTCAGACACTTAGTTCTATTACGGAATTCCAACATCCAATTCAAACTTTGTTATCTATTTCTAAACTGTTATGTAATTTTTACCAAAGGTCATTATTTTGCTTTAAATATCTGTGAGCCCTGTTATATCTCCTTTATATCATCCTAAATGAAATCCCTGAAAGAATTGGCTGCTAACATGTACTGCAAAAAATCACCTCAAAAACTCCTATTGTGACACACCGACAAACCCTTAGGTGTTACAACTGATCTTGGAATCTACCTGAAAAGCGCATTTAGAAAACAAAAATAATTTTGATCTCTACATGAGGTAATGATTGCTGCTAAACATGGCACAGGCAAAGATAACACCTGCCACAGGCAAGGAGTTAAACCATTTACAATCCATATTTGATGGCTAAGTCGTAATAGGTTCCACATACCTGTTATGGAGGGCTAAATAACCTTCACCACCTTGTTTTCTTGACCCCCAAATGCAGCCCTAGACTTACTTGTTACAGATGGCTCAACGACAGACTCCACCTTGGCTTACTGGACCCCCAGATGCAGCCCTAGACTTACTTGTTACAGATGGCTCAATGACAGACTCCACCTTGGCTGACTGGACACCAAGATGCAGCCCTGAACAGGCTGCAGAGGAGACAGACGATGACAATTCAGTCAAAGATACAGAGAGGCAAAGCCTGCGTCTCCGACAGTAGTCAATGGCCATAGATCTACAATACACAATGGTGCACATTACAAAAACCATTGTCAGGTAAACATCATTCAATGACAGGTAATTCAATCTCCAAATACTGTCAGGTAAACATCAATCAATGACAGGTAAATCAATCTCCAAATACTGTCAGGTAAACATCAAACACTGACAGGTAATTCAATCTCCAAATACTGTCAGGTAAACATCAAACAATGAGAGGTAAATCAATCTCCAAATACTGTCAGGTAAACATCATGTAAACATCAGGTAAACATCAATCAATGACAGGTAATTCAATCTCCAAATACTGTCAGGTAAACATCAGGTAAACATCAAACATGTTAAGTAAACAGTAAACTCTGCCAAGCTCACACAAAAAGTGTTCTATTGTCTTCCATTAACATGCAGTAATTTTTTTAAATGAATAAACTAGATCTATTTTCCAACAATTATCAAAAGAAATTCTATGAACTTATATTAATCACTCTTGTTGGTCTGAATGGAAGTGCATGGTGTGTTACTATGGGAGGAAACTGTAGTACCCCGGAAAACCCAAGTGGTCTGGCAGGTGACCCTATAACTTTTCATGCCCGATTAGGGAAATGATTCCCTGCAGTCTGTCTCGATTACCCATGAATTTTAGCTTAAATTAGCCTTCAGTATGCATTCTTATAGATGTATCTCAATAATGGGTACAATTATCACCGACAGTCTGTCCAGCTCTCAAACACTTACTTGAGAGGTGAGGAGGATGACGTTCTACTCGGTCGGATTTGGGTGTCAGTACTAGGGAGAGTATCAGATACTCGTGTTACTATCGACGACCAGTACTGGATCTCCTCATGATGGTAGTGGAAGAAAGCGCCCTGGACAGCTACGTCCGACACAACCTTGTACTTATTTAACTGGAAACAGATTGCACAAAGAACATTATCTTTCCAAACTATATCATTTATCACCTATAGTATAAACTAATTTACTATCACTGGAGCACAAAAGCTTTGTCTACAAAAACCAGAGTTTCAGCAATATTCATATTTGTATTGCCTGTCCTCTTGATAGAACTATCAAATTCATATATAACTTATAATTACCACCACACACACAAGACCAATGACATATAAATGACTACCTGTCAACTCTCATGTTCTAGGTTTGAGTCTCGATATGAATATCTAATGCTCGTATAAATCTTCATGTTCTTTGAAAACATTTCACAAGTATCATACTGTCAACAAAGTATCTGGCAGTGTGAGAGGCCACACTACCAATCATTAGAGGCTGATCAACCAAACAAGCCTCTGAATCGCTCACTATCTGATTGTTTAGGACAGCATGACCATCTGACATTTACTGTGAGATCAGTTTAGACAGTCAGACTATACTGTGATAATCAATCTTTTGCATCCAGAACTAATAAGCTAGTATCCTAGTGACTGTACGCTGCCTGCTGCAGGCGATGCATGTACATCCCAAACTTCATCAACTCACTCTTTAATATTTTAAGAATTATGGCCTGTATAAAACATAAGAACAAAAAAACAGGGCCCAGAACCTGTACTTAATCATTGGGTCTCGTTTCATTCATTTTGAAACAAACACAGTAATGTTTTCAACAAATTTGCTTGTACCACTTACTTCCACCTTGATATTAGACTTCAACAAAGCAGCAAACCTAGCTTGTGGAGACTCGGTATGGAAATCTGTGAAAATAAACAAATTTAAAACTTTCCAACAACTATCATTTGTTCATTGCCAACAAAAGAAAATCTCATGAAACTAGATACATTTCCCAATTCAACAAAAAAAATCATGTTTACTGACCTGCATCGAACATCATGAGAAATTACCTAGCTTCTGCATCCATTTCATGACCCACATTAGTCAACATAATATGTTCAGTAAATGATCAAAGTAACAAAGCTTAACTTAAATGTCATGAAAAGAAAATTGGTATCTCTGAAGGCATGGATTTTCCAAGTTACAAGTTGGACTTTGGAGAGTTGATGATAAACTCACCCTCCACCAATAGGCCACATATACTCTGCTCCTCTTCCGAGGTATTGGTGTTGTTCTGAAACTCCATGTGGAAGTTTCTCAGTCCGACTGATAATGTCCTATAACAAAGAGAAGTACAATGATACGTCACTCCTACAGAAACAAGGGAAATCTACATATCAAATTTGAGAAAGATCCCTCCAGTACTTCCCGAGAAATAGCGATAACAAACCTTCAATGTCAAAATCCAAGATGGCCGTCTGTCAGCCATTTTGTTAATCCAATCAGTCTCAAAAAGGAGCAGGCACAACCGTAGACTAAGGGGAACATACATTTCAAATTTGAGAAAGATCCTTCAAGTACATCCTGAGAAATAGCAATAACAATCGTTCACTGTTAAAATAGAAGATGGCTACCTGTTGGCCATTTTGTTTATCCAATCAGTCTCAAAAGTAAACATGCACAGCTACAGACCAAGGGGCACCTTCTTATATAATTATCAAGTTTGATAAAGATTCCTCCAGTACTTTCTGAGAAATAGCGATAACAAGAATTATTTAAAGATGGACGACTGACGGACGACGGATGAAGGGTAAAGGGATAATTGTCTAATTCCTATTGACCAGGTCCAAGTACAACAAATGTACAAAGTTTCTCAGTCTAATGGCCGACAATACCTAGTATACTAGAACAAGAAGACATAAAAAGTCTCTTGGTCTTTCTGATAATGTTCTGGAACAAAAGTTGTAAATTTAATAAATTATAAAAGCTTTTTTCAGTCTTTCAGTCTTATTGAAACAAAGAAAAGGACAAATTTTCTCATTCCTACTGGTTTATCCAACAAATTCACAACTGAACCATATATTGCGTCTTATGTTTGCTGTCATACCTCTGAATGTTTTGTCTGACAATCTTCACATCCAAATCCGTGACATCTAGACCAATCTCCTGAAAGCAATAACAAAAACATCTCACTTTTAACATCCATCTCAGTATGTGCTGTGTTTGATTATATACACCACTTGCAAACATCAAAACAAGATATTTATTCTATAATTTCCATTAACCGCCTATAAGCCCTGGACTTGATATCATTATAGGGCCTCCTCCTTCAGGTTGATAGTTATATGACGTACGACAATCTGTATCAATCATTAACCCTTTCACCACTGTAGACTATAATGGACTCGTCCAGATCAATGTATGGTAGAGTCTACTAAAGTTACCTAGGGGTGAAAGGGTTAAATGGATACCATGTTATGCAGTAAATAAAACCATATTATATTTTACTACCTCATGTAATAAAACCTAAAAACATTAGAAAATCCAAAAAGACAATGTAAATCACACTGAAGACAATAGACAAGATATTGAGATGGCAATGCCGAAAAATAATTTTTTTAATGACAGTAAAAGAAAACAAAAGTAATTCTGTAAATATTTAAATACATTTTCATAATGAGAAAATAAAGAACAAGTTGTTTCCATTTCAATTGAGATTTACGATTCTCCTTATGAAGTTTTCTCGTTATGCTAGCAGTCACCTTACAATGAAAACGTCTTATTTCATTGATTGGAAACATGTTTAAGATCCTAGATTTACAATTTAATATTTATCAAGAAGCAGTACTTAATTTAAATTTCTTCATAATTCAGAGATCATTTAAGAGGTTTTCACATGTATGATACATGTGTATATCCATAAGTAAATCCATTTCAGTACAGAAGTATACTGATCCTTACTTACCTGTGGGATTAAATCAAAATTGAAAGTTGAACGAGTGTTGGTGATGTTATCTGAAAATATATGAAGAACATTTACAGCGGTAATAAATGCTATCCCATAATGCAAAAGTGAAAATGTTCCGGTTATGGACATTCCCACTGATTTTGCTGTGATTACTAATTACTATAACCCTTTCACCCCTATGCAACTTTAGTATAAGACTCTACCATGCATTGATCTGGATGAGTCCATTATAGTCTACAGTAGTGAAAGGGTTAATGATAAATTAATTCATATTCAGTTGGGAAAATATACAACATTGTGAAAACATCATAACACACCCTGTATATCTATTCATCTTAGATTATAATGGCACTATAAACAATATGTGTAGTTATCACATCATAGCCTGACCAAAACAGAAAACCATTCCTTATATAATTTACAGTACCTTTCTGTGAGTGGTTCAAAACAATTTTATTCACAAGTCTGAGCAGCGGACAAACATTTCATTTTCAAAACATCTTAACATGTGATTGGTTCAATAAAATTAACAGCCCAAAATGTCCATAAGCCTTGGTGAACTCGGCCCACACCTACTACTGATGACATCACACAATTGTGTATAGTCTAGGGAAAACTAGCATAGCCCCGCCCACATGTATTGTAGTCAACATCATGGAAAATAGCCCCGCCCACATGTATTGTAGTCAACATCATGGAAAATTGATAAGTCCTACGGTAAAGTTATGAGATGATAACTTTGGTTTGCAGGAAACAGTGGTTATTGAGTGAAAGTCAGTGACGACTAAGTATTAGAACACATCGACAAACTGTATCAAACCTTAAATAAGTACACACGTATTTAAGTGTTTGTCAGATATATCGATTTTGTTTAGTGTTTTCAGTGTTTTCACATAAGGATTCAGCAGCGTTTTTTTAATTTTCATGCCGATATGAACACCAATCAGTTACATCCATATTGCACGAAGCCCGCAACCGTTCAATCCATATATTTATATTTTTATTATAGAACAATTGTTTAGTTTTATTTATTTGTTCTTAAATAATTTATTTATTTACTGCGTTTTGTATATCGTCTTCCTTTAAATGACATTGACTGAACAGCCCTATTTGAATAAAATTGGCGTCAATGATTAACTGTAGTCATTTAAACGTTTGACGCAGGGGGCATCGCCATGTTATTCGAAGTGAGGCGACAAGACTCTTAATGAGCAAGGTTAATCTATGACGTCATAAGTAAACCATGTGTTACATCACGAGAGTTTTTGCTTTTGTACTCAAATGAAATGCATTTCTGCTGGTAATGTTCATATAGTGGGTTGCAGCACAAATGTAAATATAGACCAAACAACTCCCATATTGCTGTACCTGTGTTTTCACGGTTGTTTTCTGTCTGTAAAGCTGATGTTGTCCTCATGGCCTGAATGCTGGAGAATAAAGCTGAAATAGAGACGCACAGTAAAATATTCAAACTTAAATATATCACACAAGAGCCTCACAGGACCTCTATCATTCACTATGTTTGCTGTACATGTGTGCAACTTGAAATTTTATGAACCAAAAAAATAACAACATTATTTCAGATCCAAGTGAATATTTTCTGTAAGCTTTGCTTTTGATCTGAATGACATCAGAAATTTCATAAAATGTCTCGGCCACAAACAAGCTAGTTAAACCTATTTTAGACCACAAACAGATGTTTAAGAAATCATTGTGATAGATATCAGCCGATAGATCCTACCTTCTGTCATCTTAGCTTGTGGCTTGCTCATTAGAACTCGTATCATCTGGAATATGACAAAAACAATACGTTGTGACTACTATGTAGTGGTCTTGCACCGGTAAAATCCATATTAGCCCAGAGCTACTTTCTCCCTTCATTTGGAACAATTGTAAACTGAGTAAAATCTCCCCAAACTTTATTCTTACACTTTTTACCCTATAGAACATGAGGACAAATCCAACACAGGAATGGAAATTGGGATATGTATTGTTGTGAAATTAATATCCATAGTTGTGACAATTATCTGTATATTTGTGAAATTTACATATAAATGAATAGTTGCAAAATTTATATAGTTGCGTAATTGACATGTGCAGTTCTAAAATTGATACAGTTTCAAGGTTGTGATAAAAACGATTGGGTGAATTCAATGCTAAGCACACATGTATTAATAGAGCAAAGACAAACATCTGACTTGATGAAAATATTGCAGTGTACAGTTCTTTTTAATTGTACTTCTTTCAGATTTTATCACTTAAAAACAATTTTTAAAGTGTGAAATAACTTCATGTGATGTGATGTGAGTTGATGTGATGTGATGTCACACAATCTTTATATTATTTTGAAAAAACAAAACCTCCAGCATTGAATCCATGATGATTTATGTCTATCCGTGTGAGTTAACTCTAAAGTATTAACAACTCAATCAAGATCACAACTTATACTTGAGTGACCTAAGTGGATATAAATCCTTATCATCAATAGTCAGAAATCCAGTGCTAGTGTATTTTGTTGCAAACTGATTTTGCTATCTTGAGTATTTGCCCACATCATACATGACTCGACTGCAGTAGCCATCTTCTGGTATATAGTTGTATGGGATGTCTGCAGGTTTTCTATACGTCATCTAGGATAGAACACCTTTGCAGTCCATTTCAAGGTTAAATATTTCACCTTCATTAACGTTGTCGATGTATGGTAAATTTATCCTTTCGGAGGTATTTCCATATCTGATAAACCTGATGTTATATTGAGTGGAAACTGTTTTCATTCAGCTAGTAGTTGTAAAAAGCATGCAAGGTTAAGTGATCAAGTTTGCATCAGCTGATTTCAACATTGCTTTCTCAGTGACCTTGACCCAGATTGCCACTAATCCTGTGACGATCTTTAACCTGAAACTGACCTTGAATTGTTTGATGTTGTCCTTGTGAGCCTGTAGATGTACAAATGTACTTAAAGACATCTCCGCAAGACACGGCTCTGTCTGCTGTTGTTCCTGTAACCATGGAAACAAAACAAACATTATTACTTTTGTTACAAAATTATCTTTAAAAACAAATTTTATTCTAATTCTTGAGCAAAAGCAAACCTGAAGCACCTTGCCGTCAAATTTAACTACAGCAGAGTCTGTAATTTGAGCTGGCTGGCAATATAATACAATACAAAAGCACAGCTTTATTCATACCCGATATTTAGCTTATACAAAAGATTAACACAAGGTGTAAGAGTCCTGATGTACCTCTAAACTAATGCAAAGAATTTAAACATTTAATACAGAAGTAGGTTTTCCAGACGTACCTCTGAAACACTTCGGAGTGCACGACAGCTAATCCCAACAACGTCCATGGTCAAGTCATAACTGGAAAACAAACAGATCATATCAAAGATCGTAAAGATTTCAAAACTATGACATTCAGAAAATAAGAGAATAACAATTAAAAAGGTTCTCTTTTTTCTAACAGTGATCAAGGAGAAAGTAATATTTGAAAGGTTATGGGAAATATGGAGACTTATATACTCTGTTGAAATTAATCTAGGAAATATAGCTGAAATCAACTGGAAAATTGGTGTTATACAAAAATAAATATACTTAAAGAGATCAATGCAGCTTTTGGTACACTAACTTACCACTGGTTGACCATGGATATATCTAGAGAGAGGCTCTGGCCCTCGGCGTGGACCAGGCAGTCGGGAATCATGGTGTTTAGCAACATCAGGGTCAGGTTGTTCACCCTCAGACCTATGTACTGTAATCACAGGGTAAATCATTTTATTATTAACAGGTTTATACAGCACAACCAGTTAAAAGGTTTTATGTGGTGTGTTGCAATGACTAGTACAATATGTAGTTAATAAAGGTATGCACATTTAGTTGCTATATGCAAGATGATGATATTGCTAACTTAACTGTCTTTTGTTGAGTATAAGGTTATAGATTTGCGAGAATGAATCAATCATATTAAACAAAAATGTATTGTAGTGAGGACAGGGATACATGTTAGGTAACAATTCGGAACAAACAATTATATATGCTTGCTGATGTATTTTATCTATACATGTACCTGTAAGTAGTAGGCTATTTTAGGTAGGGTTACTTTCTTGGGATGTCGTTGATTGGCTTGAGTGGAGCCAGAAAAGGCGGAATTGTCCGTCGGAAACTGGCCATCCTTTCGTACATCTGCTTGGATTCGAATATCGCTGATACAGATCACGAGGGGCTTCCTGTGGGAATACAGAAAATCACATGTAAACCAAACTTGATAATCAATTCCGTAATTTTAACAACATATAAGGTATTCCTGCTGTATGCAAACCATCCTGCTACTTTACAGGTATAAGGGTAACCAGATATATGAGATAAAACATTATAAGGGCTAGTGAGAAGGATCGTGTTGCCCAGCATTGGAAGTTTTTCATTAGTGCTATGTATCACAGTTTAACCTTTTCTGTTATTTTCTCTCAATCTGTTGGAATGGTAGACTACATGTTATCAACTGTAAATGCATCACCTGCTAGCTTTTGATCAAAACCCCACGCTGCTTTCAAAATGAGATTGTCTTCTGGCCTATAAGTAATGTGTCAAAAAACAACATGACAGATTTCTTTTTCCTGACAGTCAAATGTTCATCTGATCAAGCTCAAGATGCAAAACGACAAACAGGAAGAACCTACCAGTATTTATGTAATTTTGAAACATCTCAACATTACTTTCTAGTAAATTGGGACAAGTATCTTTAAAGGTAAAATTAAAAATGTCTGCCAGGTGGCTATTCTTTCCTCTAATTAATCTCAAAACAATAAATTTAAACTTAATATATAGTATTAAAATCTTCGTTGTATGAATATACAGCATCAAGCCAAACGTATTCGTGGTTTCCCAAAATTAATTCTAAATTTCATGTGCTATTGAAACAAAATTTTACATACTGAAAGATACATGTCTATACATACATAATGTATAATAATCTGAGAACCTTTTCATACATTTGTGTTGACAGGTTTTCAAGGTATGACAAGATATTCAGATGAAATCAATTTTACTACGCCATTTTGTGTTACTAATTAATGGCAGTGAAACATTTTTTTCCGAGAATAACTCATCATATTTTCAATTCCTTCCTAAGAGAAATATGAAATTACTAATTCCTTCCTAAGAGAAATATGAAATTACTGTCAGGAAAAAACATCAACTAATTCTCTTTCAGTGTGTCCAATTTCATTTCAGTGGTGCAATAATTAACTCCAGGAAAATTCAATAAAGATAGAGATGCATGAACTATAGAGTAAATCCAGGCAAATGGCACATACATCTGGCACGATACTGCATCTTTTGTAGCCGGTTTTAATCAGAGTAGTAAACCAATTTATTATCAATTGCATAAACAGTCTATAGTTTTATTGGACTGAATACCCAAATCAGGTGAGAACACAACTAGTACATAAATAGACATTGTTGTTTTCAATCTTTTATAATGGATGGATTCAAGCAGTTTTATCAATCATATATCAAAAATCCTAAGAATTTATGACTTTGAATGCATACTTTACATTGAAGACATTTAACATTTTGATTTCAATGATGAACAGATTATACTGATTATGGAATTTATAGTTGGAATTGGAAAGGGCAAACCGATCGACTTTCATTATAACCGATCATCAGCCTACACCAAGCCCTAGGATCCTAATTCTAATATAAGAATATAGAATATATAGGTAACAGTGACCTAAATTTGATATCTTGTTGTAGTGCTCGGCAATTCAATTCTATATCTATTTTAATGACTTGGATTTGAGTACTAGTTTAATGGAGCTAATAGCAAAGTCAGATAAGATGTGGTAGAGAAGGATTTTTGGAAAGAAAAGGTAAACATTTAAAATTCCAATCCACTAATATTGTGGAGGCATGAACACATTAAGGATGTAACTATTCCAACTTATTAAATTCAACTAAAAAAAATATGTTTTCAATGACAAGTATGCTTGTTGCCTTTGACAACCTGGCTTTTTCCTTTATGACCTTACTTATTTAGCAGAGAATCTTTTCTTGATATAGATGCAATGTAAGTCTTACTGTGTCTGAGGTTTGTCACACAATTTTACTAACACTTCAGATGAAGTTGAACTTCTGTATAAGTCTTAGTTAATATTAGCTATAAAGTGCCAAGCTCAAATGTCAATAAGATAAGGTGGGGGTGTAACAAACAGGATCTAGTGAAGCCATTAGTAGGTCACAAGGAAAGGCATGCTTCAAATCAAATCAAGGTCACATGTACTAAGACATCTATAATCTGTTAGACTTCATGTATACCTATCTGTATTTCCCGTATTCTGGCTTGTGCCTTGGTCATCAGCCTCCTCACACCAAATGGAGTCCAATTTCCAAAAGGATAATTCAAAATACTAAACCATGCTAAAGTCTGACATCCCGTTCATCAGCAGTGATTATTTTGACATTTACCCCATTTTTATCAAGCTAAGCTTCTCAAAGTACATTACACCCAGAATGCCATCACCTGAATTTCTGCAACAACTGTAAAAGCATGTTGGTCTTCCCCTTTTATGCACTTAATCTACCTAATTTAAGATCATCTGGGCCTGCTCAAAGCTTGATCAACTTAATGTCAAATTAATACAAAAATAGTAAATATGTAAATATTGGCCGCAATAAGTGCCCAGGGAGCTTAAACATTTAAATGCCTAAAGGGGGATGATAATTAGGATAATAAAATGTGAGTTATGATAGAAGAAGTTGTGTAACTTCAACCAGTTGTTTTCATCATAGGACATTATAAACATTCCAGTGTGGCTGGAGCTTTGAAAATACAATCATTCATCCCCTTCCAGCACTATTAATTAATGAATGGGCCTCAGGTCAGGTCTGGGAGGGGGTCTATATCATTTCAAATTCCCTCGAAAAAGGGGAAGGGACGCTTATAGGGGGCGAAGCAGTTATTATGGCAAATACAGTACCACTGAAGTATTTGAAATGTTTGAATATTTCTAAAAAATAATTGTTTGAATATATAGATTTACTTATCACTAATCCAATCAGACTTTGAACAGTCGGGATCTGGTTTACTTTCTGCATCCAGAATAGCAATTGATTATCGTTTTTGTCCTGATTATTTTCTATGACATACTTCAGAATAAAGTACTTTTTACTCCTATTCCGTCTTTGCATATTGCAGAGTTATCTGCCTTGTGAGCAGGTATTGATTGTTACGTCATTAGTTTGTGTTAGAAAATAACGTCGTTTTCTCAAACATTTATGACGTTACTCTCACAAACAAATGACGCAACAATCAATACCTGCTCACAAAAGCAGATAACTCTGCAATACAAAAAGACAGAATAATCAAACACACACATCCATGGAACATAAATTTAAAAAAATCATGAAAAGGAAAAAAATAAAAACCTACCGCTGTTCCTGGTTTACAAAGCAACTTGACAGCCATGCCTTTTCTATTTCCTGTAAGAAAATGTTTAGAAAAATTAAGTTAAATAATTATGATGCAGGGGCACTTTAAATATCCTACAATTAAAATAGTTACCTCTCAAATACTGCATAAAGAATTTACCTGAAGGAAGGACCGAGAAAGTAACCTTCAATTTATTTTTCAATTAAAACTTCATAATGGACAGTATATTGTGAAACATGTGCCATTCATAGATGACCTGCAAATTTAAACAGATTATCCAAGGAAACCCAGCTGTCAAACCAAACATGATAACATTTAAAACAAATGTTCAAACTGAACATCAGCCACCTGCTGCGACATAAGCACATATAAACAATTTATACAATGAAACCTGTCTTAATCAAACATCATCAGCACACATAAAAAGATTATTATTTCTTTAATTCTTAATTATTCATTAAAGTAAATTACATTGTTAAGTTCAGTTTGTATTTAGTGGATACAAGCTAAAGGCAAACAATATGGATGTGAAGAAATGCTAGTATAAATGTAAGAATTAATATTTCATTGCTTCTTTGGCCTGTAAGTAAAAGGAACTGACCAGGAAGTAATTTCAACAAACTGCTGTGCAAGTCACTGAACATACATATATTTATTCTCTATGCTCGCTTCCCTATAGAAACAAAGGAAAAATTCAATATATAATATCATCAGTTTTATTACAGGTTTCCAATCCTTGTTATGAAATCTAACTGGTTTTCTGTCCGATACTGACAGCAAAAGTAGGGACTAACGAGGCTTAATGTTTTATTGATGGAGGAAAAATCACTATCTCCTATATTTTTCCTCTTAATTAGCTGGAAAAGCCTATGGTCCATAAATAATCCCACTGTAAACATTTTCTTCCTGTTTTTCATAACATACTTGATTATTCACCCATGTTTATTTTTTCTCAGATTTCCCAAGGTCATTCATGTTGCTGTAAATGAGTATTACCTACCAATTTAAGGCCCTTCTTGACTAGGATCTGTACTTTTCTGCAGCTGAATATCCCTGTGCGTCCAATCTTGACCGAGACCCCAGCGTAGTGTTGTAGCAGCCATTGGATCAGATATGCCAGAATACTGCAGTCACATAATAGTAATGATTGAAGAATGATTGGCTAAGCAACACAGTAGGTGTACACCGTTTGTCATAGCTTGAAAAAAGGACCCATTAGTCTGTCTTGAAACATTGCAACACCTCTTACTGAAGATAGTAGGTGTGTTTCCCGTTTTTCAAACTCATCTCATTTACAACTTAACTTCTTTCCCTATTTCCTTTTTTTCACTGAAAATAATCCAAATTCTTCCTGCAATGATTATGCATCATGATCCATTTTTATTTTCAATTGTTGTTTTTTTAATAGGAATGTGTAAGATAATGCATTTTACCTGCGTTTTAAGGATCCACATGTTCTTGTATAGATATAATGTACATATTAAATAGATTTGTATCAAACTAACCATAACATAAGTACATGTGTGTTAAAATATTGCTTAATCTATTTAAACTTAAGTAATGAAACACCCCCCGCCTTCTTTGTCTGAACGGCATAATGATGGGCGATGACACTTCCGTTGACCAGGTAGCTCAGTTGCTTAGAGGGGACAGTATAACAAGCTCAGGGATCGAAATTGGTTTAAAGCATGCTGATTTTTTTTACGCTCAGAACTAAAATTGTTGTTGATCATATTTTGTTTATTTCACTCTAATTTTCATAGAAGTCCCACTTTTCAGAAAAATAATCTATCAAAGCTATAGCAATACCGAACCAGTGCAATTTGTTAAGTTTTGGGTAGTAATATGGGGATCATAATGTCATTAATAAGATTCACAAAATCCCAGCGGCACAGAGTCTACCAAATTATGTCTACCGAATTAAATTGGGCCTTGAAAGATTTAAGTTCAAATGGATGTCAAAAACAAAGATTCACTTCAAGAACGTCTAAATGCTTGATGACTTTATTTGGGTCCGTCGATTTACCCAATACAACTAATACAAGTGCCGATTTACCCAATACAAACATTGATTTACCCAATACAACCCAATACAAAAAGTAAACACCAAATGAAACTGATATACCAAATAAGTATACAATTAAAGTTAAATATATGTAGATCTTAATCAGGCGTTCTTGTAAATGTATTTTTATTATTTATGAAGTAAATAATGACGGGAATGATATACAATAATTAATCGTTGTTACATTGGAAAAATTATAGCAAGATATATTTCATCATTTATGAAGTAATTATATCATTTACCACGGAAATGATAAACAATAATTTATCGTTGTGATATTGGATAAAATATAGAAAGATGGATGTCATTGTTTATGAAATAAATTATCACAGGAATGATATACAATAATTTATCTTTGTTATATATATTGGATAAAATATGAAAAAATGAATTTAATTATTTACGAAGTTAATTATCGCGGGAATGATATACAATAACTTATCGTTATCATATCGGATAGAAAAATGAACTTCATTTTTTATAAAGTAAATTATCACGGGAATGATTTACTATAATTTGGAAAGAAATCAAAGAAATACAGAAGTTATTGTTATTTGTAGCTAGCATCACCTGTCAACCAATGGTCAGGTGTGAAACTGGTTCAGATGACACCTGGCCAAAGCCATACCTAAATACATGTCAATCACATAACATGTAGATGTTCTTCATTCATTCATTCTTTATTAACCAAAAGCACTTAGATACATATATACATATAACCACGGAATTAGATTAAAGTCTGTGATATAACATTATCTAAACATAATAAGTATAGACAGGAGAGTGACATCACAGTATACATAAAACACTGTTCAATAATGTGTATATATATGTGTTAATAAATCATTGTTTTTCGTTATTGTCCTATCTTCCACACATAACTTCAAAATATTAATGAAATTAAAATAATTGGATATCGGTATATATAGGAAAAGACTTACATGTATTTAGGCTAAGCCTGTTGTCTGGTCCCTTTGTTAATACATGTATTGTCATATTTCTTCTATAATAATTGTATTTATCTGTGTTTGTATTAACAATGAAATAGATTGAATCAAGGATTTCTAAATAACGACGATATTGCCAAAAAATACCCGGATCTGCACAACATCGTTAGTCCGTTACACATAATATATACGTCTCTGCTTGTATATATTTGGTACATTTAACTTTATACTGGATAGTATTGGGGAAATCAATACTTGTATTGGGTAGTATTGGTTTGTATTGGGTAAATCGACACTTGTATTGGGTAGTATTGGGTAAATCGTTGTGCCACTTTATTTTTTAAAGAAAGTAAATTTTATCTTTCATTCCTACCTTTTATCAGGCTGCCCCAACACCTCCTCTTATAATGATACATTTATTGTTGGGGGTTTTCAGAGACTAGTTTTCATGTTAAAACATAACTTATAGGATACAACATCCTTGTGTGTACTAACTTGGCAAATGTATCTAGATATTATTCAAATGATTGCTTTAGACATGTCAACTGTAATTAATTGACATGAACTTTACAGTACATATCAATTAGCATAACACAAGGGTTTGGCGTGTTTATTTTTAAATTAAAATATGTAATAACTTGTTTCAATAATCAAAGTCATGCCACTTGTTTTAAATGACTGATTACATAGGCCATATCTATAGAATCTATAATTACTTAATTTGTTTATAAAGTCATGTGCAGACAGCTTATTTCAACAGCTGCATGTTGAGAATGTATATCATTTAATTCATATTTATTCTATTTTTTCATTTTATATCAATAAAACGTTCAATGATGAATCATTTCATTTTAGAAAAACAAACTGTCATTTCGTACTTTTAAGACAAATTACAGAAAAAGCAAATTAATAACGTTAGGTTCGGTTGACGTACTAAGATTCACGTGAACTCGAGCTTATAAAAAACACTTCCTTTGAGTTAATACCTTGTAATCAGCCATATTATGATAATTATATAGAGAATTGTCCATAAGTAGGATGGCATAATCGTTTGATTTCGGTCACTTGTTCTCTAAATCGAAATGTCGGACACCAATTCATCTCCACATTCCCGACATAAACTGTCCCTCAGCTGTGTTCCATAGACGGTAGGACTTCCATGTTGCTTGTCTAATGTAGGTCAACTCCCATGTGACCCTATTCAACCAATCAAAACAGCTGGCCTTGCCGCCTTGTTGTTCCCAGCAAGTCGCCATTACGGCTGTCGCCATTTATGCGAAGTACTTGTGAATTCGGAATTTTTTCTCAATATATGGCCGAATTGAGGTTTAAGGGTTGAGGTTTTATGTTCAATTTTATTTCAAGAACATGGAGTGACAATGAATCACCCAAATCCATCAGGCAACGGCTGTTCTCTGGAGGATTGTTACGCCAACATATTTGCATTGGTAAGATCACATTTAAATACAGATGAACTTATCATCTTCGGCTTTACATCGATTGTTTTCCGATGCGATGAAGCAAGAATTGATAATGATTGATATACGATCTTATAGATCACCTCATTAAGTAATACACTGTCTGTTTTATTGTTCACCATTTTGAAACGGCACTGTTTAAATTGACGACATAACACCTGCTTAGTGAAAATAGTTGATTGTTCACGATCGGTATTGACTTTTTGTATGTAACAGTAATCACAGTGTAATGTGACGACAATCCCATTGCTGTCATTCATAAAAGACACTTCCGGTTAATGTTTTCTAATAAATCAGAAGTTATGTAACGGGTTTTGTAAATGTGTTCCACATTGTTTACAGACGGATATTTGTGGGATAAAATGGAGGAAACTGACAGCGAAAGCTGATTATGGCCCAAACACCGTTGATCATTTGGAGGACCCCGTTCTCGAGTCGTATTCCAGATGCATTCAGGCCGATATTCTGTGTGTTTGGAGAAGGGTTCAGAGGTATTCAGACCAACCACAGAGGGTTATAGATCAGCTGTCCCACCATAAGGAGTTGTGGATATTTTGGTACGGCGATGAACCGTCTGTCCTTGGTAACCTCTTGTCTCCCTATTTGGATGGTAAGTATCGTTTCCAATATTAAAGTCGTTTTAAAAAAATTCGTTGAAGTATCTTATATTGTAAGTAATATGTTGAATTAATTTATGTAGCAACTGTATTAAAACCGATTTTAATTTTAGCTCAATTCTGTCTTTAATATAATATTACAATGAATTATAATATGAAAATAAGATACATACATGTACAAATAACCAGTGAAATCAGTTTTCTATTAACAACTTGCACAACACATTTTTTATTGCCATACATAAAATAGAATTCAAGCGTCTTTAATAAAAAAAAATGGGGAAAAATGGTAAAAAAATAATGTCTCCCCATTTAGGGCTATTTAAAAAAAAAATGTATATTGTTACCACTTATAACCTTTTATTTATTTAAAGGAAGGAAATGGTTCGTCATATTCACCTAAATGTTAATCTTTTGTACATTATTTTTACAACAGAGACTGAACATGGATCGTGGGATAAAGACAAAGATAAAGATAAGGACAATTCCTTGTCTTATGAGTGCCGTACCTTACTCTTCAAAGCTCTTCACAACCTCATCGAAAAGTGAGTATGTGTGCACTTTTAACATTGACCGAAGGTACTCCAAGTTAGGATCAGTTTCTGATTCGCCCATCTTGGCTAGCGAAGATGCTGTTTGGCCATGCAGGGCATATTCTGGAGACTTTTGGGGGCCGATAACCGGATCGGCCCCATTCGTAATTGAAACTATTTCATAGGTATGCCAAATGCCCAGGAATAAATCTTTTTGAAGTAAATGTAACACTGATTTTACAAAACAAACAATTTTTAGGGAAGAAAATCATGCTTATTACGTGTAATTTTACCTGTACACTTTGTAAGATAGGTTAAGATGCTCTCACTCAGTTGAGGTTCAACAATATTTAGCATAAATTTTGCAAGCTTTTTGATAAAAAGAGGAGGGGGCTCTCCCCATGGGCAATGGACTAAAATTTAACTTAAAAACGTCTAACCTGAGAATTCTATGCTTTTATTTGCAGATGTCTCTTAAGTAAAGGTTTTGCCAGACTAGGGAGATGGTTTGTGCAACCCTTCGACTCAACTCAAACCCACACAGAAAGAGGGTAAGACAGATAATATTGGTACCTGCACATACTGCTGGGGGTTTTGGCAGTTGTGCATTGTATGTTTTTGCAAGTGATCATCTTTGACCAATATAATTTGTGTATTTTAAAGGGGGGAAATGTTAAGCATCACGTGGACAGGTTTCAGACAGGAGAATTTATATTATTTCTTATTATCAGAATCTCAAAATTAGTTCGAGTGGTGATTTGCATTTAAAATAAAACCCCTCTCTTACTTGCTATTTTCTAATATGACATGTTTTCTTTTGATTTTCAGAACTCATCTGTCCTTTAGTTTCAACTTTTTTCTTCATGGAGAAAGCTCTGTTTGTGGCAGTATTGATGTTAAACAACACCCACCGGTATGGAATCTAACTCCACAGCATTTGACATTAGCCCAAGAAAATCAGGCCAATTTCCAAGGTAAATACTTTTAACATACTATATGACAGGGTAGTAACAAGTTAGCTTGAGACTGCTAAGCTTGTTGTTATTATTACCCATGTCTGACCATGTGACTTCCGCTGACAATGATAGAATGGTACACATTTAAAAAATAAATCCTATGTTGATAATGAAAAAGTTGCTTGAGGTGGGGGTGGGGGGGAATTGATAACATGGCAAAGCGTCTTATGCAACCTTTCTCAGTTTCTCTGTGAACAATATTTAATAGTATCATACTTCTAAGTATGTTTTGTTAAATATAAAAATGTGATGCATTAAAAATAGAGAAAACAATGTGATGTATTTAAAAAGACAATGTGGTTGCTTTTCACAAACTTGCTTGCTATTGTTAGTCTTACGCAAGTGGATATCTTGAAATCTGACTCATTTACTAAACACTTGTAAGCCTATTATATCTAGCTATTGTAGTGTCTTTCATCAAAGATAATTCACAAGTTTGGTTTGATATTTTCAAGCCCATTATAACATTGCACTAAAATAGATAAGGGTTTATTTTGTTATCATAATCTGTTGGCATCTATAATCAGTGCTCCAGATAACTTTTGAACATGTGGGGTTTTTTACCCCTTCCTCTCCAAAGTGGAGGGGTGAAAACTTAAATTTTGAAAGATGAAGTGCTTTAAAAGCAACGTTACCTGAAAATGTTGAAAGACGTTGAATCATTTGTATGTGTTAAACTTTTAATATAGGGTTAAGAATGACTCAAATTCATATTTTTGTGTTGTCTAGACATGTGGTATTTTATTTCCATTTCACTGTGAACACAATCACAGTGAAATGGAAATAAAATGACACATATCTATTTAAAATGGGGTCGGAAAATATCATAATAGGGTGTGGATGGAAAAACCATTACCCGTGGCTGACGTCACGGTCCAGACTGTTGGTCAAACGGATGGCCAAACCTTGTCGAACTTGAAATGTTCGTCGTGNCAAGGACAATTTACTACGCAGTGAAAGAGATGAGACCAAGTGACAAATAGCGATTGTTTTAAAAGCGCCATGATTCAATTCTCGCTCATATAAGCGTTTGTAACAGGAGTACTATGCAAGCGTCTCAGTGACTCACTTGTAAGCGAATTATAATTTGCTAAATTTGTCCCGGAGACTGACGCAATGTTCCGGATTTTGCTTGCGTGAATTAAGCAAGTTCAATTTTTTCTTTTGCGTAATTTGTGAATTATCGTGTGTGAATACGCATTCACGCAAGCTTTCTGGAGCACTGTATAATATTGTTTTGTTGAAAGATAGAGTATTTATATTATCCCAGTTAATTGCCCTTTATCAATAGTACTTTTTCTTTAAAATTGTAATTATTTGTTCATTATATGGATGTTAATAACCTGTATCTTCTTTACAGTTATTCTAGCACCGTATGGATTGAATGGCACCCTGACTGGAAACTCGTACAGAGAGACTGACCAATCGGCCCACAAAATTCTGGAGGAATGGGGTCGATTTTATCCCCTCAACGCTGATGATCTGAAAGATGACGTGTGTCGCCCACCTCCTCTGGTGGAAGTGGTTGTTGGTGAGTAGTCTGATGTTACCTGTAAGCAATATATTGTAGATTACAACTTACCATTGAAAGGTAATCTTCTAATGTCCCGTTTATGATATAATATCATATATACCTGCTTGTGATATATATATATATATATATATAAAAACTGGTGCTTGTTTAGTCTCTATCTTATTATTTGTCTGAACTCAATCTTTTGAACTATAATGATTCTAAATTATGAATTGTTTCGAGTCTCAAAAAGTTGTATTTTCTTAAAAGGATGTTTTGTTAAATTTGCACAAAACCAATTGAACTGAAAAAAGCTTGATCAAATTTTGAACAGGAATAAAATACGAGACACTTTTTATTTGGGTCATATTTCAGGATTTCAAGGTTAAGATTAAGGTCACCATTACTATTTTAAGAAATTTGTCAACCAATTCAGTAACAACAATCTAGCAGCGTCATAATGAAACTTTATACACATGAGTATTTATTGGGGGGGGGGGGGATCACTCACAAAAAGCAAGCTTTGGGGGAAGTACAGTAGAAACTATTCGAGGGGAACATCCCCAAAGTCACGTTAAAAAATTACTGCAAGGTTAAGGTCAGTTATTAATAAAAGAATTTGTCAACCAAATTATTATCATACTTCAAGTTACTTCATTTTTTAATTTTGATCAAACATACAAAGGGCCAGTATGAAAAAGAATAGTGTGCCAGATCAAGACTACCATTAATGCTACTTAACAAAAATTACTGAACAGACAGTCGTCTGGCACTAATTTGCATGGAAATAGGGGCTTTGTTACCGTACAGTCATTTTCTAGTTTGACATATATTTTCCAAATTGTAATAATAAAAACAATGTATAAAAACTTCAAACTGACAAGCTTTCGATTCTTGTTCTTTTCTAATATAAAGAAACACAATCCTGAATGTTACTATCCTTTTGTTTCCAGCTGGAGTTCGAATGAAGTACCCATCATGTTATGTGTTCTTATGTGACTCTGAAGAATCTCCAGCTCGTGTGCAGCCCCACTCTGTTTCCTCCACTTCTCGTGGTCAATCAGGTGGCCAAATGACACCTCCAACCTCGCCAGAAAATCTGGTGGGGGGTGAAACTGGCATCAAAATACTACCTTCACTTCACTACTCTGGAAACCCAAGCGAACTCAACACAGACATAGTGGCTAATACTGCAAATGCATTCAGTATCCAGATACGCAACAGAGTCGGTCAGGATAACTGTGTCACCTCGGGCATTGTCAAAAGGTACATAAAAGACCTGGTTTGATTAAGAAAATAGTTCAATTTTGTGATTAATTTAAGTTATATAATTCAAAAGCCTCACTTAATATTGAAATATAATTTGTCTACTTCCATTATTTGTGTTTGTAGAATTTTCAGACCGTATTATATATATTTGCCAAACATTTTTTTCAGATGATCAAGTTATTGTATTTCAATTATCTGGCACAGTGCCTGTAAGCATATGGTATGGTGCAGCATCTATAGATCAATTGTTCATCAGTTTTTTTCTTTAAAAACTAACTGAAAACTGAAAGTATCTTGGTCCTAATATTTTAACACCAATTTTTTTTCTTCAGATCAGCGGAGACCTACAACGATAGCAATGCTGCAGGAGTATGGGAATTCAATGATCCCACAGCTAAATCAAACTGCAACTGTCTGAGGTAAATTTCATCCTTAATACTTAAAGCTGACTTTGTTTGGCTGTTTCTAGATTTTAAAGATCTGTGCTTTTGCATTTGTTGAGTGAAGTGTACAGAACGTTTTGTAACTGATTGGTAGTTATCATGCATCATTTAAAAATATGAAACATTTTTATTGATTTCTTCATTACAGACACCGAGCAAACAAAACAAAGCAGACTCTGGCAAGTCATGGAAAAGGCCCTAATGCTACAGGTGTCAAACACCAGAAGGGTGAGAATCCGGAGAAGCTGGAGCGGCAGCAATCCCGAGTAAATCGAAGTCTAGCCTCCTTTCACAGAAGAGCTCCACTGACTGACGATTTGCTTCAGTTTGACATGATGGGGATGATGCCTCAAGTTCAGCCGCCTCCTCCTCCTCCTAATGCCAATTTCAACTCCACGGCAAGTGCCAATGGGTTGCCCCAGCTAAATGAAGGAGTAGGGGTGGAGTCTCCTTCACCTGCAGCCCCTTCCCCACTGGATGAGCCTCATAGCCAGACTGTAGTCAACCCCAGTGTGGACCCCACCATGCCCAAACTTAGCCCCCACCCTCCAGCTGAAGAATCGGCTGAAAAGGAAGTGGGTCCAGCAGTTGGGAAGCCTGCTGCAGAGACTGTTATCAATGGAGGAGTGGACAATACTGCCAAACCAGCAGAAAATGCCTCCTCAGTCTCCCACAAGACTCTGACAGACAGTGTATTCTCACCTAACTCATGGCCTACAAGCCAAGGAGACGTTGTTAAAAATTCTAATGTGAACAGCTGGATTTCTTTCGGGCAACGACAGATTGATTCTTTGAATCTGAAAAGGCCAATATTACCTTCAAAGGATTGCGAGCAAGATGAACTAGTCACAAATGCTTTATACAGCTTTGAACAAGTCAATGTTTGGTGAGTGAAAAATATTCTATTTCTAAAATATCGATAATAAAACATCAAAGTAATACAATTTCTATACTGTTAAGCAGGAAATTTCCTGACAGTTTAATTTTCACCTTTTTCGTTTACCTTTTTTGTCCGTAATAAAGGCCAAATTATCATTGCATCGAACATCAGTAAATAATATATAATATGCATAGTAATTAAATGCGAAGGGAGAAATTAACACTTGTCGAATATGGATTATTCTGGCGAAGGGCGAAAGTTTTGACTGGGTGGAAATTTCTGGTATACACTACAGTATATAGCGTATTATACTATAGGCTCAAGAACACTATTGGGTTTTGATTTTGAATTTGAAGTTCCATGTTCACTCTATATTTTGAATATTATGTTTCAGGAATAACTTTCCTGTAAAGAAGGCCAAAGTTGAGAGTCTGTTTCTGGCCGGTCTGAATGGGTCACAAGTTCCGCACGATCCCCGACAGAATAGTATGCCTAGCCCAGCCCAGAAAAACCACAAGCCCTCAACACCCCAGCCCTCAGCCCCAGACATATATGAGTTCTCGGATGAAGCCTCCATCAACCCATCACCAATCTCGAGAAGAAGCTTTAGAAGCAGTCGTGATGATCGTGGATCATTTAAATTGGTAGGTTTTTTAAAACGTTAGTTCCGTCACCGGCACTTAATGCGTATAAATAATGAAAGGTGTTCTTGAATGTTATGTCTGTTGCAGAATTAATGCGAGGAATTGGTGGACTTTTTTCAGAGGCCCTACCACTAATCAAATATTTACACTTATTTAATGTAAAGAATGTTTGGCAGATCTGCATTTAACCTTGCCACTGCTAATTACATATTTATCTAAATAAAGCGCCTCCCTTATCCTCCACATATTATGGAATTAACCCTAACTGTTAGAAAGGATGGTTTGTAAGGACTATGATACTAAAATGTTAACATCAGTAATTGATTTGTTAACAAGTTTAATATATATCGATTTGTAATGTAAATATAGAATTCTAGTGGCATGTTTGTGTTATAAGGGAGACTTCATTATTCATTGTGTGAACTAACTATATGTTGCACTCTTGTGAAATTTCTCAAGCGTTTCCATTATTATTGTTACTGTATACGTAACTGTCATGTTGTCTGGACCAAATTGTCCACTGTTCAGACAATGTCAAGTGCTTGACAAAAAACCCAAGACTGCACAACTACAGGGATGTGAACTTTCTGCCAGGTGTACTAGCCTGGATGCAGATTTTGTAAAATTCTCACTACTAGCCCAACTTTATTCTCATAATAAAAATATAGTGAATTTTCACGAGCCCTGACATTGAATATATGGCCTCTGGCCATAGCTAGTGCAATATATGAACACCCCTGAAAATTCATGTCAGTAACCCTGATTGATATAAGGTCACAGCAAGAGGTCAATAGTCTGCTGAACATTATCTGATGAAACTTCATACATGTACTATATGTGTGTTTTGACAGTTGGTGTGCCATACCACACATGTTTGACCTTAGCTGTTAGTGGGACGTTATACAAAATTAAACCAAACCCACACATATCAATAATCAATATCACCAATCATTGTCACAGCTAGGGGTCAGATCACTTCAGTTATTTATATAAATTTGTAACCTCAGAATGGCAAAACATACAGATAAATATATACATATATATAAGTTGGCTAATATTTACCTTTTTATGTACACATAAATGGGAAGTAACTCAAACAAGCAAACTCATTAAAACAAGGACAGTCCATAGACAAAATGGGGATAAAGAAATGAACACTTTTAATTTTTGCTTGCCTTCATTTGAAAGGAAAATACTTGTACGTGATGTACCTAAACATGTCCCTTTCCATGAAAGACATTAACTATTTCAGAGTGCTTAATTTTTCTGGTCATGTGTCAGAATAATTTCCCAATCACTGCATTTATCAAGTCATGGTAACTGGTCCTCTGATGTGGCTGAAAAAACCAACAAGTGTGTTTTACTATCTTTTGTTTGTTTGTTATATAACTTAAGATTACTGATCAAACTTTTTGACCGTGTTGTTCAGTAGATAATGCAGGGGAATTACACAAATTTCCAGTTCACTGTTGGAAGTGCATTTTATGAGTATTCCTGAAAACAAAACAAGAACAAAAATCCAATAACTGTTGGAGGCCCAGTTAACTATGGAGTCCATATTAAAGCTAATATTTTTGTAAAAACAAATTTGACCTTTCTCACTGTTTTACCAATCAAGACACAGTGAAAATCCTCCGAAGTCTTTAATAACCTTAGACTCATCAGAACATCATGGTTTTGGTATAGCTTGTCCAACCTATTGGGGTGTGATAGAGGATCAAAGTGCAATTGCACTTCCCACATAATATTGATAAAAAAAATGGTAAAATAAGAAATGTATCATAATAATGCTTAACTAATAACTTGGTTTGAAATGTTAGATAATTTGCACTGAATTTCCTAGAAGCTATTGATTAGTTTGTTGTAATGTAATTGATAATTGATAAACACTTGATTGACCTGGTTGTGTTTGTAGGAGGATGACAAGGACCCTAGCAGACACAACAGTGATTCTTTTATGTTTCCAGAAAGGGCATCTCATGGAGGAGGTAAGATTTAACATATTTTTGCCCCTAGTCTTTATTCTGTTGCCACACAAGAAAAAATGTTTTTTCCATTTATTGCTATTTAGATGAAATAGTACTTTTGGTGTTGTAAAATTAGAAAGTTTTGTATTAAGCCCCATCTTATGTATGTTATCATTGGCGGAACATTTATCTTGGTCTGGGGCTTCTACTCCACTCCTACTGTGTTAGGAGATCATCTGGAGAGAGAAAAAGAAAGTCATGGCAATGATATAAATTGTACAATGTCATTTGGTTCATGCTAATTATGTCAAGGGCAGTGTGAAATTTACAGATTATGAGAAACCAGCATTGAAACTAACAATTTGATTCATTATTTAACAAGGGTAATAATTTAAGAGAATATAAGCTCAACACATTATTGTAAGAAAGGTATCCCAACTACCGTATACTATAACATGGATCAGGGTTCCACAAATTCACACTTTCGTGTTGCAGAGTCTGTTGGCTCCCCACCTGAGACCCCCAATCCTGTTCCAACACCTAGCCTGATACACGAATATGATCTCCGGCCAACTCAGAGTGATCTGGATCACATATTTGATGACTCTGATAACGATGATCCTGTAAGTATGAGTTTATAGGGGATTAGTGACATAGCAGATAACTATGATGCTGTGAGTGGGTGTTTGTGGGGAACTGGTGACTGGTTCAACAATTTATATAATAGACTAAGACATTAAATGATGCTTAATAACATCACTGCTGTTTGAAAATTTTGATAGTTTTGGTCAATTAATATTCTATAAGTGGGGTTATTATGGGAGTAATGATGATGAGAATTGATTTCACTAGCAAAAGAAAAATATTTTTTAGAGAAATAAAAGGGGGAAAATAGATTTCTTTGGAGATCAGTTTTTCAGACTTTTACACACACACACACACACACACACACAAAACTCAGGATTTATTCCCATTTAATATTAGAATCGTTAGATAACTCAGGGTTTTGTTGCATAGAACAGCCAATCATTTTGTTGTCCAATATATTCGAGTAATTTAACAACAGAAAATAGTGTTTCTGAACTTTGACTGAAATATGTATCCCTAGGAAATGGATTATCAAAAAAGGTACTGATTTTCCATAAATTGATTACCTTATACCACATATAACAAAATTTGGGGCTTTGACACTATGCCTTAGTAAAACTCGAACTATATTCTGAAAGACATTTCATAGTGCAAGATATTTAGGGCAGAATTAGTATTTAGTCTATCTAGATTAGATCAGTATCATTTATGCTGCTTTATTTTCAGTTTACTAGTCCAATCGTAGTTACAGAAAAGGCTATTGAGGAAAAGAAATTCCCACCATCCCATGCTAGTGTTGTGATAAGTGATGGTTCAATAGGTAAGTTTGATGTCCTGTGACAGTTGAAAAAGTTGCATTAAACACTTCAATTGGCAAATTTAACTTAGAGACCAGCTGACATCTGTAGATGGCCGCAATTTTGATACTTTTTCATACCCATGTAGCTATCCCAAAAAAAATTTGTCATATAAGATTTTCTAAAGGAAAAAATGTTAACAGGTAAAAAATCACATTTTTCTTGAAGCATGACACAGTAGTTAAAATACTGCTCTTTGGGTTCCTTTTTAAATAAATATCTGTTGAAATTTAGAACCTGATAATTAATAGACACTACGTATAATAGACTATGGAAGTCTAATGGCCTTGTTTGCTAAACTTGACAAAGTTATAGTTTCATTACCTACGCCTCTGAATATTACTGAAAAATATGTTTCAATCTTATAACAATGTGTAAAGTTTATTACCTTGTAGTATTATCCTATTTAATCATTTCATATATGTAACATCCAAAAATAAAGACAAATGTGCTAGATATTGCTGTGATCATTTGTAAAAGCCTGTTTGAATGTTGCAGCTGCTTCAGAGTTGATGAGGATGTATCCCACACCACCGTCTAACCCTGAATCATGTCACGACACAGCCATGGAAGTGTCCTGTGTTGAAATAAAGCCAGTAATCAAATCTGAGATCTTCCAATGCATCAGTAACCCAGTGGAAGACTTTTCCAAGGTAATAATTGTAATATATCTTACTTTGTAAATTTGTATTCCCACTACTACAGAGCAGTGTCCACATTCCAGTGTCCATCCCTAATATTGTGTTGGAATTATAACTGGAGCATTCTCCAGAAATGAAAAGATTTCTATGAATATTGGTGGAAATACTTATTACCAGGGTACCTTGCTGAATTTTAATTTTGGGTACTGAAATCTGATTGGCAAACAGAATGATATTTTAAAAGGAATTTTAAGCTTTTAATCAACTTGCTGAAAATACATTCTACCATGTAATCTACACTGTACCATACTTAGTTGGGTGTTTGGCATTATGCATGTATATTTAATGAGGATGCTCTCATCTGATTGGTTAATGATTAGGGCTTTTCCATAATAAGGATGTCAGTTACTTTTGTAATCTCTACATAGTAACTTTGTTTAAGCTGTGATTTTCAAAATACATATAGCACAAATAATTGGTGACAGCTTGTGAACGGCTCACCCGTTATTGAACAATGGCCATAGCAAAAGTTGATCATCTAAAAAAAGCCTCCTATATTGAGTTAAAAAGCTAATATATGCTGTTTTCCATGCACTTTTGTAGGATTGGTCTTATGTGTACAAACAGCCTACTGCGGCCCGGTTTGACATGTCCAGTAAATACTCGCCAGTGGAGCTTCCTAGTGCTAATGGTCAGTTGTCTCCTATCCAACAACCACCCGACTACAAAGCATCATGGCAGTTTCAGATGCCTATCATGGAAAAACCCAACCCAACAAGGTAAATGAGACTTAAACCGGTTGGATGTGGGAGTTGTGTATTCATACCAGAAAACTTATCTTGACATTTCAGCTTCTCTTATAACTTCAAATAAAATTAAATTTTGAAAATAAATTTACTGGCATGTATAAAAATAATACTTGTTGTAATTAACGATGGTTGTATTAAATTTAAATTTATATCAATATTCTCAGCTGAACACATTTGTAATACTGGAAATTTTATAATTATGAAAGAAGTGTTCAAAACTTGTTCAGCTCACTGACATTTCTTCTAGATATATGATATTCAGAAACACGGTGAATCTGTTGACTCATTTTTGCATTTGAATGTTTTGCAGTTATATTAATGTGCCGTCCATAGAGAACATCCCCAGTCTGTCATCACGTATGCCCTCGAGTGCTGTGGCGGCGTCACCAGCCCCGTTCCAGAACAGCGTTGGCCAGCAGCGCACTCCTATGTCATATGAGCTTCAGTCTCCAGCATCTAATGCCTCCTCATATCTTAACAAGACACTCAACTCAATAGACAATTCAGGCACGAACAATCAGATGCCAGAGGTACACAGTCTCATTGTTAACATAACATTGTCCGACTCGAGGCTCAACTTATTCCGTGATTATAACTTTGATAGCTGCAATATTTGTGTGTGTCAGATGAGCATTAAGGGTGTGGATGTGGGACTGTACATGCCCGACCCTAGTGGTGCTCCCCCTGAGCCCCCAGAACAGTGCTCTTGTGGGTTCAGTGCTGTTGTGAATCGTCGGGTTGGACACAATGCTGGTCTATTCTATGAGGACGAGGTAGAGATTACAGGCATACGTGACGACCGATATGACCAGCGGAAACCAAGTTTGTTATCATTGGAGTACCAACAAAAAGACAGTCAAAAGTCTGATGATTTTAGTCAACAGGAAATGGAGTTACTCTTGGGACAGTTCACAATGCCCTACTCCTCATTCGCCGCCACAGAGCACATGTTCAAACTCTGGCTCTCTAACTCTTCTCATTACACAGGGTCAATCTTCGATATGCTGCAGCTACAGGGTAAGTACTATTTGGAAATGATGGGCATGTATCCTGAAATATTAGGGATTGGTTTGCACTATCAAATATCCCTATAAACAGTGAATAGATATATATATTTTGAGTGAAGGGGACTACATTTTGTTTAAACGGTGGGTCAGGGTGCAGGGCCCAATAGGGGAAACAGAGCAAATTCTTCAAAATCCTCCTTTTCCCGTAGGAATAACAGGACTTTGTCCAATTGCATATAAATATAACCCCTGACTAACCATGTAATGCATGTACACTACCAGCAACATCTGGTTATTTCAACTTAAATTTTGCTAACATTTCCCTCTGGGCCTGTTGTTTTAACCTTTGACCTTGTGATGACTCACTTACAGCGTAAAGACACAAATAACATGTACATGTGAAGCAGGGATACCTGAAATCTCCTCAAGATATCTGAAACATTTTCAAAATTTACAACGTTGATGGACTTTTTTCACTAATGGCAAATATTTGATCGTTGCTGAAGACTGCTTGAATAAAAAATAAATATACAACATTTGCTATAGCGCCCTATCTAGCTAGCATAAGCCACTCTAAAGCGCTTTACAGTACATAGATATACAATTTTATACAGTCAATATGATGAGCATATATATTAATCAAAATAATATTGAGGAATTCGCAGGAACTGCCTTATCAGGCGCTAACTACTAGTCCTATGCCACCTGGCTAATATCTCCTTATGTGTGTGTGCTGGAAATGTATTGCTTAGCCCATGTGTTCCCATAAGATTTCATCAAAATATCTTGAAAATGTGTCTATTAAATTCAGCTGTCAGATTCAATATTTGCCCTTTTGTTAATGATACTGGATGTTGAACAATAAAAAATTGACAAAAACATGCTATTTGACTCCTAACTGATCATGAAGCTGCAGAAAAACTGTGTTCTTTGCCATATCCAGCAAAAGTTATATTATGACCAGAAGTATACTAAAACTGCAAAGAATTTACACAAATCCTAACACATCGCATTACAGATTTAAAAGCTATTTCATTCCAGGGTTTCTTTTTATTGTGTTGCATGTTTTGAAATGGCACATGTGTTTGTTAAGTACTCTGCACATATATATTATATGTTTAACATGAAGTTGTCCATCAAAGTAGGCAAATGCCATGGCAAGCTAAACCAGAACTCTAAATCTGTCGCATACACCATACTGTGTAACTCATGTGTTTGACAATGTGTGTTCATCCTCTTTAAGACATTGGATGTAGTGGTCAGTTTGATATATTGTCAGCTGCCAATACAATTGTATACAATTAAGAACAAATAAATGTTATGATATTATTGACCCTGTATGTGCTCACACTGTCACTGCTTTCAGTAAAACTGGAAACGTTGACATCACTGAATTATTCCAGCAACATCATTTCAAAAGAGACTTTGATGAAACTTATTGTTCAAGTATAACTTGAACCAATTTCCATTTGACAGGCGGTCATTATTACTATTGAATATCATCCTCATGACTCTAGTAGTGACTTTATTTTCTTCAGAATTTTTGTCAAACTTCAGATATATAATATATATATGTACTAGTATAATGAGCTTGAGTATGTCTTATAAGTACAAGACCATATTTCCGAGAGTCAAGGTCAATGACGTCACTGTTACTATTTAAAGAAAATCTTTATAATTGCACAATTGCAATTTCTGAAAGATTCTAACATCGGTCTTGCATGAGAAAACCTTGAGCCAGTCCGTGCTGCTTCAATGTGCCTTGAGGTCAAGGTCACTCTTTGTATTCTGTTGGAAATCTATTTCATTTTGAACTAGCACATTTTTTTTTTTGAGAAGATTGCAATAAAACTTCACATACTTGTCAAATACAAGAATGCTTAAAAGGTTTAAGGTATACAATTGTACATCTATTTAGCTAACTGATGCAAACAAAGGGGTTAATATTGGTTTCTATGCCTTGTCAAAGTTTGTTAAAAAAAAATGTAGCAAACTGTTATGTCTGCTTATTTTTAAAATTAAATTAAATGCATGTTAATGGTGATGATATAATCAAATGAATCAGAAATGAAGTCCTGTATATAAATATACATGTATATATATGTGTAAACAGTTCAGTGACTGTTAATATATTAGTTATATGGTAATTGAAGTCAATTTATGAAGATCTGGATCATCCCAATATTTATTACAAGGCTGGCCAATTTATTGCAGATAAATCTCGTCCCAAAATAATTGACACGAAAAATGTTGGCTGTACAATTGATAATATAATTATATACCAAATCAATACCTGTGTTGACTCTGGCTGAATTCTTTATGTCACGAAAAAGAATAGTTACATTGATCTAAAGATAAATTGTATTGATACATGTTTGAGTTTATTTGGTGTGACAGAATATATAACATGAATCATGATAATGAATGACACTACAGTTAATTATGTAAATCAAGATTTATGGCATTGTTGGAACATGAGTAGTAATTAATGCTATGATGTCAACTATATATGGTGACATAAAGGATAATTCACATGTATTTAATTACTTATGAATGAAATTACCATTGATTTGTATTTCACAAAAATTTAAAAAAAAAAAATCACTTGAGGCTAACCTAGATAGCTTCCTGAGCAGACAGCAAATTTTGGAAGATTTTTTTTTTTAATCATTTGAGAATTGATTTATTTTAACAAACTTAAATACTTATAGTGATTAATACCCATGATTGAGATAATTGTGATAAATAAATGTATACATATTTTCATTAGTATTATTTTTATCCAAGTTAAAAATTCTGGATGCATATTATATGCATGTTTGTTTCTCCTAGTCAAGTCCACACCATACAGCTGGCTGATGATGATCAGTTACTCCTCCATGACGCCACCTAACTGGTGTAGTGGGGGATCACTTTGCATGTGCTAATCATAAAATCAATGCCATTAAACCCAGCTCTTGAATGCATGTAAATCGGGCCAATATGCTAATATTGCTCTGACTTGAATACAAAAAGACAGCTATGGACTGATTTGATGATGTTGCTGGCAGATAAACCGGTAGATGGAAATGGAGTAAAATATATTGCTTGTCCAATTTGTTGCATCCCTCACTATAGTTTGTGGGAGGAATCTGATAGTGATGGCAGTGAATTAAGCCCAAGTGCAGAAAAGCATGACATGATGTAAAGTTCATGAATGTCAGACTAGCTAGCTTCCTCTTGGGATGAGTCGTTGCACTGAAATGATACGTGCTCCAAACATTACGAAAATACGTTTTATTTTTGGGCACATTTTCAGTACAGAAATAGGTTCAAATTTAAGGAAGGGATATTAAATAGCCTACTAGATGGTTCAAGCTTTAAACATTAATTTGATTAAACAAACCAAACAAATGTAAATAGACACTGGAGGTGGAATTTGAAGGAGCAGATATGGAAGAAATAAGTTCCATTATCAAGTAAAATTGAATTTGATACTGGTACAATTTTATTTCTTAATCTATATTTAATTTCATAAGATTTGACTTTTGTGTTGTATAGATGGAAATGAGGTGTCATATCAGGCGCTGGACCAGGGACGTCAGGCCATGGAACACTGTCCTCCTTGTAAGTTGGATGACCCACATATGAGGAAGAGCTGCCTTCACAAGTGGCAGTTTCTGCAAGGTGCTGGTAGGATTCCACAGAATTCACAGGACAGTGTGCGTCTCTTAAAGACCCTCCAACCCATGCTGCAAGATGCCATACAGAACAGTCGTGTGACAAGGTTGTGGGAACATACATATAAACTCTCTGGTCCCCTAACGTGGAAAGAGTTTCACCAGCTGGCTGGCAGAGGTATGGTTCACTCAGGACTGCTAAAAGTTACTGTTATTAAATCCTTTGTATATTTTTTATTGGCCTATAAAATCAAGCGTGTATGATCAATTCATTTCAAACTTGTCTGCCATGACCTTTGAAAAGACATGTGAAAAATACTTGCAAAGCAGTAATATTACATACTGAATACCTGGGTTGACCACAGAAATTTTCATATACGAAATCAAGAGATAAAACTTTTTGTATCTTGTAACTGCGCACCTTTCCACAACACATATACTGTATTTTAAAAGAGAAGAGATATCAGATAACTTTATATGAGTATACAAGTATCGTTATTACTTTCACGATATTTGTGGAGTAGATATATATCGATATAGTTGGATGGATATTATTAGGGCCCCGGATCGGAGATATGGATATATTTTGTTTCCTTGTGATTCTTTTTGAAGTCCAAATGTCAAACATCAAGCTTAAGCTAAGCTATATTGGCAGATTGCTTCTTGATGATTATGGGGGATATATTGCCACAAGACGGGGCCCTTACTGACCTGTCAGGGTTCTAGTTATGCTTACAGTTCACTGTAGAAAGATTTTTATATATAGTGCCTTACCAACATGACATAATGGTTTGTTATTTATTGTTTGTATTATAGGTGCAGATGAGAATTCAGCTCCTCAGCCAATCCCGTCATTCCTTGTTGGTTACGACAAAGACTGGCTCTCTGTCTCACCACATGCTTTGCACTTTTGGGTAAGTAGCAGTGAAGTCAGATCATATATATATATAAGGTGAATTGTGTAGTATATACACATTACACATTTCCAACTTATCATGCTTGACTAAAATAAAATTATTTCTTTTTGGGGGAGGAGGGTATTAGTATTAAGTATTAAGTATTATCTTAAGTGAAATTCCTTTGATTTTGAGGTTTGGTCTTTGATACAACAGATACAGTCCAGACCATATAACAAATTATGCTTTCAGATAAGCAGTAGATAAATTGCAGGAAATGAAATTTTAAAAAAATACAATCAAAAAGAAAATATAATCTTCTTCAAAATGTTCAGGTTAGGCTTTTAATAATTTGAATCTCAATGTGGCAATATTGAAATTGACATCCTATGTTGTGTTACAGGATAAGCAGTTCCTGGAGCCATATGGTAAACCTCGTGATATAGCATATGTGGTCTTGTCCCCTGAAAATGACTATATTGTCAATTCTGTGAAGCTGTTCTTCAAAGAGCTTAGCACAGTGTATGGTATGTCAAAGATGGGAAGACACTGCCCAGCTTCGAAGGTTCTCCGCGACGGCATCATGAGGGTTGGCAGGAAGGCAGCAGAAACTGTAGTCAACGAATCGGTAGATGAATGGTTCCAACAGATAGGTAAGAATAAGTCAAGGCTTCTAATTTGCAGTTAAGGTAAAAGTTACTTAATATATATGTTACTCAATATTTACTACATGTATAACTTGCTGCATGGGCTGCTTATTAATTAAAGACAAATCGATGTTTCCCAAATTGCTGATGGCTTTGAAGTTAGATGATCATATAAACAGTTTCACTGACAATAATGTTATTGGGGGGGGGGGACTTTTAACATCCAGTATATGATCACTGTACTGCCGTTGTTGCCATATATATTGAAATGTCTTGAGCTTGAGCTTAATTTTCAACTTTTCTTTTTACAGGAGATTCACCTGTAGCTGAAAAATTGAGACTCTACGCAAAAGTTTGCTTACATCGTTTATGTAAGTAAACATGAATTTTACATTATTTTCATGAGTATTACTCGGTGTCGGCTAAATCTCATTACTAGAGTAATAGAATGTGTTATCCCTGTGTGATGTAGACAAAAAAATCATCTTGAGGGTATTGTAGTCCATATCAAGTAAGATAGGATATTTTTCCACATAATAATGTTTGAAATGACTCCACATTAAATTTCTTAATATAACATGAATCCTATGCAAGATCAGCACATATCCCCACTGTGATGTTGATATTTTTCACAAATAAGCCAAACAACAAAATCTTTAAAATGTTACTTGAGTACGGTTGGTTATTTTAAATGAAAGTCTTTTATCACAGTAACATAAAGCATTGTAAAATTTTATCAGAATCCAATCCCAGGATATTATGCCAGCCTAAGAGATTGTTTAAAAAATGAGACACTACTGTTATTGTTCATTTAGCTGAAATAATTTAACTATATTACAGATGATATTAGTGAAAAACTAGAAATGTAGTTTACTTCACATTGTTCGTATTAGCTGAAATTAATATGTTCAAAATTTTACTACTATTTTTCCACGATGTCAAAACATTTTTTTTTTTGACGTGTCCAATGTCGTTTAATAAATGTATGTACTTAAAACTGAACTTATATCAAAGTCGAATGATGACATTTATTACTTTTAGCACCATATCTATCACAAAATATGGACATGAAGTCGTTATTTGAACCCACGACGACACACCGACCAGGCTACAAAGCGCCAGACCCATCAGCAGCACCCACCGCTACTCCCACCCCATCTGTTCCCACCCCACAGCCAGATCATTCTACATTCAATGTACCCACATCACAAGCCAATTCCACAGAGGACAAAGGTTTGTTATTTTGATCAAAAAATTTGATGGGGGAGCAACAAGTTGACTACTGATACAAAAATTGTTATCTTCTGATGTTTATAATTGTTTGATAGTACGCGTATCTGCATTCATTTGAACATCTAAAGTGGGAAAAGGAAATAAAATGTTGGATAAATGTCGAATGTTTCTATCTAAAAAGAAAAAAAACTGTTATTGCTGAAACGTTTCCTTTTATTGTAGGTCACTCTGACATAACATGTTTGCATTAGTAAAATCTGTATTAATTCATTTGTAATTGTTTGTACATTTCAACTTTGCTTATTCAGAAAATTCCACCCTTGAGAATGGGGAACCACAAAAGGATATGAGTTTTGATAGACAAGACGATGAAGACGAGAACACTAACTGCCCAGCACTGGTCATCTACATTGTCAATCCCTTCACCTATGGCCATGAGTGGGACAGTAGTCTGGACAGGCTTGTACACACAGGGCTCCTTAAGTGTTACCAGGCCCTTGTCAAAACACTACCTCCTCAGCTACAGCAGAACATCAATCTACAGGTACTCCTATCATAACAAATATTCTCTCAACCTCCCGTTTTATTCATATTCTTGCCAGCCTTTGCTGCACCATTTTGAGCCATACCAAGGTACCAAAGGTCATAAACATTCGGAAGGTATGCTGTAAGATTCTGTAAAAAAAAAAATTAAAAAAATCCAAATGTACTTTACATTGAAACTTGTGCTAACCTTGGGAGAAATCATTGTATCTTAGCCCCAGTTGTCTGTTTTCATATTTGCTAATGAGACGTGTTTATTTTAATTGCTCAGCAAATTCTTAATGGCCATTTGAAGTTTAATCCAAATGCTCAAAAAAGATTAAAAAAAATCCTATTCAGCAAATATGATGAAAGTATTGATAATGCTTCAACAAAAAAAGATTGCTGCATTGTGATGGACGTGTGAATGAGTTTTGACTCCCTTTGCAGATGGTTCCCTTGAAGACAATCCTAGAGAACACTGAAAAGGGCAGTAACACACAGCTGTTGAAGTCCATGTCATTCTCCGTGTTCAATATGTGTAGCTGGAACTTGGTACACACGGTCATGGGCAGGTCCCTCACCGGGTTTGGTCCTGCTTCTGTTGCCGAGCGCCTTCTCAAGAAAAAGGAGGTATGTGTGTAGTCTGCAAACATTGTGCAATCTGTTATCAGCATAAAGGCTTATGTGACAGTTTAATATCGTGAATAAAAAGTTTTCCAATGAAGATACTATGTATTGACAAAGTAGGTTGGTTAAAACCAGTACGGCAATAAGGATTCTCTCCCTTTACCAATTGATATTCACTGTTTACTGGCACATTGAAAGTGAACAGATATGCCGACACAATATTAAAAGTACAAGAAACAAAGGACCAAATTTTATGTTCAGTAGTTCATATTCTTATAATAGAGAAAAAGTCCAATTTAAAAGTTGTTTAAAAAAAGGTTTACCCTAAAAGGCAACAAAAATTGTGTTTCAAATTTTACAAATGATAATATAGTATTTAAACTGAATAAGATTTAAAAAAATCATAAAACAACAAGTCGTCCTGTATCAAAATGGTACTAGGTCTTCCATTTACGGAAAACAGTATGAATATAGGAATTTTTGAAATAATTTGCAGGTTGAGAAGAGCCGTCTGTACAGCCCTCCATTTATCCTGGCTCCAACAAAAGACAAGCAAGCCATACTAGCTGAGTCTTGTGGGGAGAAGATTGAGAAGAGTAATGTCCTGTTCTGTGTGTATTGTCTGTCAGAGGACCAGCGCTGGCTGCTGGGTGTCTGTACTGATGAATGTGGTGAACTCATGGAGACCTGTACAATCAACATTGAAATACCAAATAGGTATGTCTTAATCATTTTTGTCTCGCCACCACAAAGGAGGGGAAGCGAGACCTAGGTATGCTTTTCGGCCGAGGGCATCACCTTTAAGTTTTTACGTTTAAATCAGTTTCACTGAAAAAATAAGTGCTAGACCAACCAAACTTGGACCATAGATGCATCTTAGGTAGTACATCTCAACCCATGCATCAAATGCTAAATGCGGCCTTCCTTTCATGGTCCATTGACTTTGTCAGCATCTCCATCAACATTAAGTTTTTGTGTTTAAGTTAGTTTCATTTTAAATGTTGTCTTCATTGAATTTATTTCACCGATATGTGCATTAATTGTCAAAGTGAGGCACAGACGAGATTGTCAAAGTGAGGCACAGGCGAGATTGTCAAAGTGAGGCACAGAGGAGACATATCGATCTAAATGGCTTGTTTTAATTGATTTTCTACATCTACAGAATTCTTTTTTAGGAAGTTTAATATCCTCGCAACAACAGCCAGGGTAATTTAAGGACAGGCTATATAAATCAATTGTAGATTGTATAAATCTAGCAGTATATTCTGTGACTCCAAATAAGAAAATTAGCAAAAAGGTTAGTCGAGAAAGTCATTGATTCTTAACAACAATGAATACGTCTTCATAAAATAATTCCTCTTTTGCCTGCTAAAATTTGCTATGAAGTTTAATAATGCCTCACATATTTTTATTTTTATTTTTTGGTGTAACATGCAACAACATTTATTGTGACATAGGAAACAATGTGACTGTAATTTATTTTTTATAGAAATCGGCGTAGAAAAGCATCTGCGAGGAAGATAGGTCTGAAGAAATACTGGGACTTCATACTAGGGGTTGTATCGGCTATAGCTAGCCCTTGTCGCCTGGTTATAAGTCGATTTGGGCGAATTGGGCACGGAGAGATGAAAGGTGAGGGTATTGATTGATATTTCGTATTAAAGGCATGTCGGCCAGAATACCTTATATATGATCAGATGAGAAACGTTTTTGTTTAACTGAAAGACATTAGGTGCCTATATTATATTCAAAGAAAAAGGACAATACAAAGGATTGCATAATTACCAAACTAATAATGCTTAAGGAAATTAATCATGCTCAGGAAAAAGAATTCAGTTAGATATAAAATTAACATTCAACATTAGTTAATAAAAGATCACAATAGACAAATTTAAAAAAAATGCAGTTCCCTGCTGAAATTATATTTGTCAGCCATATGTTTACAATTCGCTTGACCTGCTCCTTAATACTACCTGGTCTGTTTTTTTAGGTTGGTCCGGCCTGCTGAGCAAGAAAAACATCATGAGGGTTAGCAAACAGGTGAGGGAGTCTTGTGTGCAGTGTTCCCTCCTCAGTGGTGCAGATGTTCCTGGTGTTCTCAGCGCCTGTCTCGTCTCCCTTGAAGCTCAACCCTCCTTCCATATCATGGCAGACGCTGTCAAGCTGGAGGAGAAGATGTCTTCCAAATGTCCTCTACAGACACCGCGGGACACATCTGTTACTCACATACTTGTCTTCCCAACCTCAGCCAAAGCTCAGGTACAGATTTTCTTCAGAACCGAGATTTTTCTCAAATAGTTTTCGATTAAAAAAATCATTACTTTTGCTTAAGAACTCCAAAATTATTTGGAGTTTGAAGTTTTCTTTTGTGTAGATAACAAAAAGCATCAGCCAACACAAAGTATGTTTATGTAACTAAAGCTCTTACTCTCAAATAACTCTTTGACTTAATTATAGGACTATTATTTTGAACTAAAAGAAGTTTTCTGAAGCTGTGGTCCCAAATTTTAGGAAACAATAATTCCTGAAATGATTTCTTCATTGACAACATTACTCAAAATTTTCCAGTTATTGATGAAAAAAGTAAATATATGAAACAATAGTTTACGATATAGAAATGAAGGTGTGCACAGTGACTTGTAAGGCAACTTTTGATACCAGTTGTGTTTATGTTTTCTAGGCCAATTCCAGTGCAAGTGAGCCCGCCGGTGGTATGGACATAGTCAACCACAACCTAATGGAGGATAACATCCTGGAGTGTTTAGAAACTGACTTTAATGACGACACTGATGCAGACTTGTCTTTTCTCAACCTCTTTGAGTCATTGAAAAGTGACCCCCTCCCCAACATACCTGGTGGATCTCCAACTGGCATGGATACCGGTCACCATCCCTCCATCGGCCACGACCACTCATCTGTACGTGCTGACTAAACTCGACCTTACATAGTTTTGTTGTATTAAATGGCTTGGAATGCAAGAACTTGCAAAGATTGAGCATACACTGATGAATACAACTTCTGGTTATTTTTTAAGTGATTCGATGCTATAACACCAACGACAATATTATCTGGGTATCTTTAGTAAGAAAAATAACTAAACATGTCTTTACTGAGTGGTGTTCTAGATATGAATGTGTGGGGGTTTTTTTGGGGGGGGGAATATATATTTTTGGGTACAGTGGAACATTTGATTAATGATGTACAATTCTTAAAAGAAGAAGAAAAAAAGATACAAAACAACCCAAATTTGCATGTGGAAAGTTCCAACTGAAAGCTGCATTGCATGGATATTTTACAGAAATAATTTTACTGTTGACAGATTGGACAGAGTATGTCTGGGTCAGACCCCCAGGATGAGCCCACAAACCTTCTACAGCAGCCACTGGCTATGGGATACTACCTGTCCACTGCACGTCATGGACCACTCCCACGCTGGTTCTGGTCATCTGCCCCAGAGAATGAAAACCACACCCTCTCTTGCTTCAAGGTATGTTACTGAGCTTTGTGTTACAGTTAGCTCCCCTGTCCTACACCTTGTGTATCATGACATGTCTAAGAATATTCCAAGAAGTTCCATATGGTTTGTTTAAGTACAAATTTGAACTTTATGCTATTGACCACCATATCATTTAGTCATTTGTGTAATGTTTTTCTCAAGTTAAGAATGACTAAATGTTAAAAATGATCGTCTTTGTAAGTAAGCCATAAGCCATATGTATCATCACAATAAAGATTTTTCAATGACTTTGGTTCTGCCAATATTCCTAATATGACAGCCAATCTCAACTTCTTTTACAGGCTGCGCTCCATGTACATAACTCGCAAAAACATGATGATTTCATGCAGTCTACACAGAATAGGAACTCCCATCCATTAGACTCTGGCCTTACTTGTGATGTGCTAAGGTAAGTGTGTGGGGCCATCAAGATTTTCACTGGTCAGATATTGACCCAGTGTTAATTTCACTTTTCTCTTCGGAATTACTGTTTGATTGGTAAGATGGGTTCTAGTACTTGCAATCATCAGAAATTGTGGAAAGTGAAAGTTTAACTCATACGAATGTCTTCTTGTTTTCAGATTGTTGGAAACAAAAACAAAGAAATCTAGAGATATCATATGTACTTTAATTCTTCTATCGCATCAGTTTCAATTTCCAGCCCAATTTTGGAATATGCTGGTACAATAAATTCATAAGGCTTTATCCTTGCTTCCAGGATTTCGTTAGGAAGTGATAAAGAACAGATGATGCTGTGATTGTTTTAATAGTTTTTAATGCATTCCTATTGCTCTGTTTGTAGGTATGTGTTGGAGAACTTTAACTCCTTATCATGGTTAACCTATGATGTGGTGGAGAACGATCGTCAGTCCTGTCTGCCCATACACTTTGTTGTGTTGCTACAGATGTACCATGCATTAAACGCATTTGTGTGATAGCAGAAAACTACCGGGATAGACACACCAGACTTGGCAGGGTAAATAGACAGTGAGCACAGGAAACGAGCTACGTGTGGTGCTACGGGAGAGAGTAAAGGGCTTTGATGCCGTTTCAAGGGTGTGTATTGGCTACAAAGAAAGTATTGAAAAGAATGCCTCTGTCTCAAAAATGTCGTGTTACAGACTGATCAGCTAATAGGAATGCCCTCTGTCTGAAAATGTATGTGATACTTTGAAAACTGTGTGTATATTCGGGAAAGAAATGCAGGAGCTGCAGAAATGGTGCTATATGCATTTTTCTGAGATGGAACTGGTGGAATATAGGACAAGTAGACCTGTGTTCTCTAAAGGTGCGAGTGGTGCTACAGATTGGAATCATTCATAGACTACAAATGGGGATAAAAGGACAGACACAGACACAAGGAATGCCCACAAAGTCGGCATTGAGGACACCAGTGGAGCCCCAAGGCAGGTGTCCTGGACTTAGGTTGTGGTGCTACTACAAAGATATGTCTATGTGATGAGGAACTGTAATACAGGACAGTTATTTAAAGCTATACATAGCTGTGCTATTGTTTGAAAGTATTTGTCATGTTGACAAGTGCAAAATGAAGGGAGGCAAATATTGGATAAGATCTAACGGCAGTATACGAATCTCTGTACAGGATCAGACAGTCTGTTGATCTCGTTTCATATTGATATACACTGTACATGTAAAAGCATTGTGTTTGAGAGAAATGTGTAAAGTGATATATGTGTCAATGTCAGATGTTTTGTGTCATAACACAAGTCAGCGTGATGTATCCCACTAAACAAATCAACCGTCAAAGCATGTTGGCAAAATATTCTAAAATGAATAGAAAACCTCAGGGAGGAAATTATTAGTTAAATTTATTGACTATTTGTTAATATTGTGGACAAGAAACTGGCAAAATAGGTTAATTTATTTGTTAGAGCTTGCTTGTTCTCTTTGACCTAGCAATGTGACATTTTGTTATTCACACGTCATAATGAAATAACCCCAACAATATGCCCCCTCTATTTATTTTCATTACCGAGCAAAGTGGATTTCAGGTTTGTGATAGATAGATGAGATAATTGTCTTTAATATGCCATGTTATTTAAGTGCTAGTGTCACTAAAGTAAATTTCAAGTTAAAAATACAAACTCAGAATAACCGGAAAAAGAAGTATTTTGGGAAACATTTTCTTTCCATGTAAAAATACTGTTTGGAGTGTAGTGTCTACTCTGCAGCATTTCATGATACAAGACCAGAGAGGTTTTTTTTTACCTGCTTAATGTATTTTCTTTATTCCTTTGCAATGGAATTGCCGAGGAATATAGAAACACATCAGTCCATTCATTAGTTTGTTCATTCGTTCAACCTTATCAACACAATAGTGCAAGGGCCATTTATGTAATCTCCATAAGACTTGGTACAAGAGGATAAACAGTAGATAGTCAAGGCATGATTTAATGGGGGAAAGTTGTAACTATTGGTAGACATGATAATGTAGACGGTTCATCCATTCTTGCTCAGACTTGATACAATGATTGGCCAATGGCGAATCCTGTTCAGATAGAATAGGTCAAAGGTGAAGGTCATGGGTGAAATTGATAGCAGGCAAACCTTGTTATTCAAGTGTTAAGATACATTTATATATTTGACTTCAAACAAGATTGACAATTGTTTCAGGGTAATCTGGTCAATATCACTATTTTAGCTCCTTACTAAAAATCTTCTAAAGAATTTCAATATTCACATGTGCAGTAAAAAAAAATACAGATATTATGACATTATCAGAAAATGAAGTTGCTAATATCTTGGTAATGAACACAGAACAGTTGAAAATATGCTAGATTTAAGCTTTCTAACAGTCTTTTGTGCACACAAAGGGATATGTATCATTTGCGATGCATTGTTACAATAAATCAGCTGAAAAAAATATTTGTATTCGCATCTAATGCGTATGTTACCACATTCATTTTGTGATGAACAAGTTATCAATACACTTTTTGTAAGGATATTGATTTGGACCGTCTCAAATTTTTTCAAGATCTAAATGCTCAAAAAGTAGCAAACCATAATAATATTTTGTGCAATCTCGTATCATTACAGTCACCCTGGCACAATACTCTGGCAGTTTGTATTGGGAGAATTGAAGTGTTTTGTATGCCAGTGCTATTCAACCTGACAACTGTGAAATATTTATTTACTATTTTGTATCAATGACTGGATGAAATTATTCTACAATGGACACTTGTTAGTAACTGTTGATATGTTCTCTTGTTTTAGAGTTTTTACATATGAATGTATTTAGTGATTAAAAAGTGCTTAGTAAGGTTTCATGATTTAAATGTGACACAATTTCTTCATTAACTCTTAGTACCGCTGACACCATATGGCATCAATAAAACCAGCTATCTGTCCCCCAAAGCGCCATATCACGTCAATGAAACAGTATGTTTTAATCATTCCTGGGGTTCATGCTAAAACAACATCAGGTACAGGAAAAGTTTAGATTGATTTAATGATTTAAAATATGTGTTTTTGACGATAATTTGAAATTGCTGTCTCGATTCATAGCAATACCATTTGCATGAATTAATGTTGACATGCTATTACTGTATGGTCATTGGTGAAAGTCAATGGTTTGTTATCTGTTGTTTAGGATATTTAGTAAATATAAATTATTGAACATTCCATTAGAATTAAACGGTATCAAACAAAACCATGATCCACATTGATGTACTTACCTACTATACCTTACCTACTTGTATAATGTGTATAAGACGAAAAAACAGCTGTACCAAAATAAGGACTTATAATTACCTTTCATGAAATGTTGGTCTAAAATAAGTATGTTAAAACTATAAACAAAAGTTTTAAAATCTAGTCATAATTTCTACATGGGGATATTTAAATAAGATGAGAAGTCTAACTATTTTTACTGCTTAGTCCAGACAAATAGTTAAATAAAGAAATACATACTAGTCCAGGCTCCTCCCTAACTAGTTGCTGAATTAGCTTCGGGCTGCCGGAATAAGTATCCTCGTCACTTCATTTCAACTAATTATAAGGAGATGGCTGTTGGGGACAACAACTTCCTATAGCAATGGGAAGTATAGTAAAGTCATGGGAAAAGTTTTGACAATCGACACCAGATGTTGGTGTATTTTTGCCAGTTTGATAAAGAAAATATCTTATTTGATCACTTTCCAGAGCACTTGTTCAGATAGGCGATTACCAAGCCTTTACTGAAATCTACTAGTCTACGTTAGTGTCAAACCCTGCCTTGAATACTTAGATCTGAATCCACGTCCAATATGAGATAGGTAAATGCTGGAACATGGACACAAAGGAGTCTGTTGCACTGGACATTTTATTACACTGACATGTTTCCTAGCCTACCTTCAACAGAACAAATTTATATAGGATACTCTAGTGCAAAATATGGTTCACACAATGACATTGTTATTTTAATCATGTTAACATTAACAGCATAAAGTACTATTTCTGTAAACCTTTATAGGAGGACATTTATCAGTAATTTAAAATAAGATGTTTTGCACATTGGTGCAAAACCAAAGTGCAAAACATCTATGCACAAATTTCCCTTACTTGCATGGCAAATACTGACACAACGATAAGAATTATTATTTTGTTTCGTTATAGCTACAGTGAATTCAGATCAATGTTTCCATATTTACATTACTAGTAACTACAACAAAAGAATCATTATTGTTAATTGCAGTAGCTTAACAATTTATAGGAAATTTGTCAATTTTTTTTTTATGAAATGTTTGAAATGTCTGACATAAATGAGAGTAATTAACAATATTTTGTCTTTGATTTCATATTATATCATATCATATACGCAAATCCCATCTTAATTCAAGTGCTGGGATCAACATTTCTCAAGCATGTGACAGACCAATCCCAGGTTTTACTCTGTGGGCTATGTCTGTTACCCTGGGGTGGGACAAAACATGTAATGTTACATATAAAGAAACAGATTTTCTGTTGACATGTTAATTTAGAAGAAGATGAATCACTAGTGACTGAAGGATGGCAAAATCAACGGGTTAATGTTTCAACAGTCTAACTGCAACTAGGTAAAGATTATCTTGATCCCTTTCTGATGTCTTTTAAGGCTTTTTTTTAGACATGCTCTTCCCAATAATGGGTGCAATTTTATATTTATTAGCATTTTATGGACCTTGTGAAGGTAAGTATAGAAATAATTGCAACTTGAAGCTTCTCAGCAATTAACTAGATATTTGAAGTTATAGAGTTATATCTAAACAGGATGATTTAGCTGTAAGATAAGCTGTAATGGCAGGTTAGACATGCAAGATATTATATAATGATTATTGAGATATTGTTATAGGTTGTTGATAGAGGCCACTGTCAATTAGGCCATTGACATTACCTACTCTCTGTAAATGTTGGCAATGTTGAAGGCCTATGTAGACAGTGGACATCACCTACTCTCTATTAATGTTGGCAATGTTTAAGGCCTAGGTAGACTGTGGACATCACCTACTCTCTATTAATGTTGGCAATGTTTAAGGCCTAGGTTAGGCCGTAGACATCACCTACTCGCTCTATAAGTTGGCAGCTAAGATGTACACACAACACTATAGGGACTGAACATGGTCATAATACATATAAGGTTGTTGAACTAATGCATATCCTCTGACAGCACATACATGTATTAACATGTAAATTTAATACTTCTCACTTTTAGCAACACACGGTAATAACAAACATTGGGAGATCTAGGATAGTTGACATGATATGTAGAAACAATCTGATGGAAGTATATAAGCAGTCAATTGTTAGAAATATTTTTAGGGAGAAATTATCTGTAAATACTGTACTCTCTGTTTACCTGTAGAATTGACAAAAAGATACATAAAGTGCCACGGACCAGCATTTGTGCATGATAAAAATTCTTAATACAATGTGAACTTTGACCTTTTGCATGTTTTTGTTCTGATAGATCAATATTTAGGATTTTATTGGTTTGAAGAAAAAAAATCACAGGCTTCCATACATAGCAAAAATGAAAGCACACAGCTACTAATTTGATTGATCTCGGGTAAAAATTAACTTGACCAATCGCTAGGTTGATCCCTGTCCTTTGAAAATTACAGAGGAGCAACACCAGACTTCAAAGCCAGTCAAATTTACACCAAAGGATTAAACTAGTCAACTTGTCTCGTCCACAGAGCCTTCCAATTGTCATGACATATTCCAGGGGTGCATGGGGTGAAAGTGAGCGATAGGCCTAACCCCTGGAGTATTATTTATGATGTGGAAACGGAGACATAGACAGTGTATAGTGTTTCTCGACTTGCATTATCTTTCCATTAAACTTTAGATTTGATCATTGACATCAGGTCAGTATTCTGATATGGGTTATTATTGAATCTATTTTTGTAAATGAACGAGAATGGCCATGTTAAACCAAACTGTCTCTTAATGATATTACAAGATTTACATATGTTTGGAGGGCTTTTTTTGTGAAAACTAAACTTTATTTTTAAATGGTTACATTCAATTCAACCTGAAAACATACTTTATGTAAAGGAATTGCTGATTGTAAATGTTTTTATCTGTCACATCTTTTGTCTTTTCTAGACGTGGACTGTAACAAACTAATTTAAATATACAAAATATAATTTGACATTAAGCAAAAGTCTTTATGCTAGAGTCACAAGGAAACTTGAAGTTGTAGATTGCATACTATTTATTGAACAAAAATAATTTGATGTGTTTAATGTTTTACATTATAAAAACATTAACAACTCAAATATTTTTTTTATGTCAAAATGATATCAAGTCACAAGGTGTATATATTTATAGATTAATGAATATTGTTGTCATGGTTACTTGCCAAAGATTTGTAATCTTCTTGGAGTTTGTATGACAATAGCGGTACATGCTATGTTGATGTAACCAAGGGTATGATGGATCCTCATATCGGTGTAGAGATCCATGTCAAGTGTTTATGACGGGCAAGTAAGGTGCAAACGGATGGAAAATTATCATCCAAAATTTACAAATATATATATATATATTGTTTTTGTGTAATTTTTGTATAGCGAAATATTTGTATATGCATACATGATTGAAATACTTGTTATGTACTGGGGCTCCAGTGAGGAGAAGTCTACATGACATTGTATTGAAGATGTTGCCAGTATTAATGCTATGACAAATTAGTTACACTGACAGTCCTTCCCACTGGAGCCCCATCTTGGCTGGGTTGTGTCCCTTATTTGTGTTGGGAACAAGACAGCCTCGGCCACCATCTCATGTTGCTATGGCAACGAACAAAAGAGCCCATTAGCATCGCCATTGGATACCATGACAAGATCATGGATTTTCATGAATTTCATTGGTCGCCATGTTTTATTACATTATACAGCAATGAACAGTGTTTGTGTACAACTTATTGTGTACATACGATTAGTGTAGATGAACTGTGATGTCATTTTTATTATTATTAATAATATAATTCATCAATTCATGCATTGTGTCATTTCTTTACTCATAACTTGTCAAATTGATATATTATGATCATGACTGAAATATGTGTTATTGAAAACAAGTACATTCAGCGATTATTTTTTCATCGCTAGAAAAATCAAGATTGGTACTAGCTCATGAAAAAATAAAATTCAGACTCATGTTATTATTTTGTTTGTTGTAATTGATATTCTCTTTTCAATCATTTGGGCCAAGATCTCAGAAATATTTTGTATTGATGATTTATGAGAGAAAAAATAGAGGTGAAATAAACATGATAATCAACCAGTGTTTTGTTGGAGCTAGACCGGACTTCAGATTATTATACTGTTACCCTAACTGGTCAGCGGACGTGTTACAGCCAACACTTGTGTACATCTATATACAAACAGACCGTAAGGGGTAAGGGGAGGTTGCTATATATAGGAGGGGGGGGGGCGGGGAGACAGTGCAGTGGGACTGGGATCCTTAAGATATTCCTTTCAGCTTCAGATTTTTCATAGGAAATCATTTCCTGAAGTGTATTCCATAATGAAGAGGTTTTTTTTACACCCGTACTACTTTCGTATGGTGAAAAATGATTTCCTTGGGCAATGTTCCTAAAACTGGGTATAGGTGAACTTGATTCAAATTGATTGTCGTATAGTGTACTTGTCTTTCACCAAGGTGACCAGGGATCGATTCCCGATCGGACATGAAAAGATATGGGGCCACCTGCCCTACCACACTAGCTTTCTGCGGTACGCCGGTTTCCTCCTACATTCAGAACCACCACACGCTAACATCCGGGCCTTCTCAAGAGTGATTAATATAAGTTGAAATAACTTGTTTCATAATTGTTGTAAAATAAATAAATTTTACATTTTATTTAATTCAAAAGACACTTGTTTAAGATATTATACATCCAAATTGACATCATGTCTAGTTGTTCTTTTAAAAAGTTGTAACCACAACCGGACTAAGCAGGATAGCATTTGCCACTACCTTGCTCTCCCAACATGCAGTAGAACTAGACTGGGTCGTTCGCCGTTGACCAAATTGGTAGAGCGTCTGTTAAATTCTTGACAGGTCATTGGTTGGAATCCCGGTCTGGCTGTTCCACCATATTCACTCATGTTAGTTGACGCCCAGCTAGACCTACACGTTGAATGTGAAAACAGGGGGCAGAAGTGTGACGAAGAAGACCGGTCCGATTTGAATGACCCTTGAGGGATGTTATGGTAACAGTAATAATGTAAGCGTTAATCTGACAAGAGA